TGTTATGTAGCCTCAGTATTAGGCCTTTAATGCCCATTGACAAAATTTTTCTATGTCAAATAGTTTTTGAGTTGTGGGGATTTTTGTTAAAAAAATGAAAAGTGGTCTAAGTTACCCCATTTTACGGTACTATACTATATGTTCAGTCTTAAAATGCCTAGCAAATTACGGATCAGTCAATAAGTCCAGCAGCTATCTCAATCAATCGTCAGCTATAGAAAGATCGGGTTCCAAAGGCCGGATCCCTTGTCTTGTGAATCAAGTCACAAAAGGTTCAAGAATCGGCAACAGGCCATGGGCCTATTTCTTCAACGCCGACACTTCTATTCTATTCTATTCTATTCTGTTAGGTGATCTGTAAATTACCCCTATGAGAAGGCTATCTTTGCCTTTTAGAGTAAGTTCGCACCACACTGATTCTCTAGATGATTGATGCTCTGCAGATAACTTAACTTGCTGGGCCCCAAAATTTCGACTCATTGCAGTGCTCTTCCACCGACTCCTCTCTTTTTCGAGCACCAAGAGTTGGTTTTTCGCAATCACGGCAAAACCAATGAAGCAATTTAGATTTCTGGAGAAATGTGTACTCCTTAGAGCTCAACTTCGAACTAACACACTGACTCGACTGAATATCCCTGTCACACTGAAGAACTTGCTTGGAGGAGGCCCTTATCCCTGCCCCATCCAGAATCAAATTGTTGATGCCGTAGCCACATTTTTATCTGCTACTAAAACTTCATCTATTATAAGCACTGATATAAAATCTCTAGTTTGAACATAACTAAATAAAACTTGTGTGAAACTAACTCCCACATCCCATTCAGTTCCATCCAACTGCACTAAACTAAGTGCCAAATTTGATGTGAGCAGAATCACTCTCTGCAGTCGTTTTGGGAACAGCTCTTTGTTTAGTCTTTAGTGTACAGCTTGTTGTGACTGCCCTTTGTAAAGATTCTTGCTGCTCACCTCAATATTACTCTGAATTTTTGATCCCTCAGACACATGCCCACAGGAGTTTTGTTTGTTGTGAGGTAGCAACTCACTCTCCCATATTGATAAGATCGTTTTGGTCGGAAGAAGCTCCAGGCTGGACCTTTGGTAGAGCCTGCAAACTCGTGTGAGGCTGAGTGCAGGGCATGTCAGTGAACACTAACCCGGGATGAAATAAGATCATATTTTCAAACCTCATTCATTTAAATGCAGCATTTGCCCTTACCAGTAGCAACATTCTCTTAGAAAGTCTGCACTCTGAAGTGTCTTTTCTCTGATTTTTGTCCACAGTTACGCAACCCACGTTAATCACCGTCCTGTTGAGGGGCTACCTTGGACGCGTCTCCAGAGCTCCTTCAACTACAAATAGAAGAAGAAGTTGATGCAGGTGCGCAGGGGAGCGCAGCCATGGGTAACAAAATTGACTCGTAAACAGGCCCTGGGCCTAACGCCAACCATCAGCATGCAATATATACACATAGCCTCAGACCAATGAGCTGTGGGTAACTTCGGCTAACAGTAAATCCGCTTTGCACAACACACCCACTGCTCCACAGCACCGCAGCGCAACAGGCCCTACCGCAACAGGCAGTGCAGGTTAGGTTAGGTTACGTTAGGAGTAGCTGTTGCGGTAGGGCCTGTTGCGCCCTGGCCAGTTGTGCTCCAGCCTGTATGCGCTCTGGCCTGTGACTGAACAGCGCTGTTGTGGTGGGCGCTTTGTGTCAAAAGCCATGAAGATGCCCGGCTGCGTTACGCTCGGGAAGGTATATGAATTGCACTGTGGACTTGGGCTATGCTGACCTCTAGCTATTCACCCAGTGCGCAGCTGTTGACCAGCAAATTAACGCTCAAATCAGTCCCGGAACCAACATCAACCATCTAAATGCTATAGATATTGTCATCCTGGCACCTAAGCAGTTGAATCCTGTTGATGCAGGGTCGGCAGCCCATGACGAAGACCACCACTGCCCTGGATGTAATGGACCATCATGATTCCTGCCTTCCGGATCGGACCTAGTGTTCAACACTTCAGGACAATCGTATCTTGGCCGTGCGTCGAACCAGCCCTCGGTCAAACGGCCACTCTTTGAAGGACGATAAATTTTGGAACAAAACTATGCTATCTGAAACCTAGTCTCAGATGTGGTGAACTTAGAATTGCGTAATTTAATTGTGCCCGGAAGTCATATTCGATCCGCGGCCTGGTGCTGCACGGCAGGTTCTATGCAATGCCGGAGCCTGGAGGAGGACAAAGCTGAGTGCTTCACGGCTGACTGGTGGACGGAGAGATCCAAGGTGTTTTATTCATTATTCAGGGCTTATTGGTGCACAAAATTGGTGGTGCATGGCTGCACTCCCTTGATGCACACTTATTGCGTTCGCGACCAAGTACCAAGGAGAAAGTCAGTTGGGTTCACGGCAAAAGCATGTGTGTTATTTGAGGTCTCTAAAGAACCAGTGAATTTATTGTCGAAGAATAATCTTTTTGATTTAAAGCTTGATAGCCTAATTCGATTCCTTATAAACACAACAGGCTTTCTTGCTCAGGGGTTTGCCAGTCTGCTTTGGCATTGCTGAATTTGTTATTTTTAAAACGTTTCTCTTAGCTTAGCTTTGCGTTTGTTTGTTTGTTGTTAAAATTGACAACGAAAATTAGCCCACTTCTGATTGCTCTAGAGATCTGAAATTCGGCATGCAGGCTATTTTCGCCTAACAATTTCAGATACAATCATAAAAACTAGCAATTAGAGACCTAAATTAGCTTAATTGAGTAAAGTATATATATATAGTATATATATAGTGTGACGTGCTGGCGCTTACGTTATAGGCGAGCAGGCGCCGACGCTGCGTATCATCAATACGTAGGTCAAGTCATGCTTTTTAGTCCGTGCAGCAACGGACTAAAAAGGAGAAAATAAAATACTTAAACATACTTTTTTTAAAAACACGTTTTTCTTGTGGACTAAAAAGTAGAAAATAAATTATGGCTTGCGTCAAAAACGTGGGTCGTGCAGATTTATGATTAAAGCGAAAAGCACACAACACACGAATTTTAGAAATTTGATGGTAAACGTACAGTGGACTAATTTTCGTTGTCAATGTTAACAACAAACAAACAAACAAATAAACAAACAAACAAACAAACGCGAAGCTAAGCTAAGAAAAATGTGTTAAAAACGTTTTAAAATAGGGAAGAGCAGGTAGGATATGACCTTTGAATGAAATTTTTGCTTTGGTAAGTGTTATGTTAATTAAAGAAGATGAATCTCAAGTTGTCAAAATTTCAAAACAGGCGTTTGATGTACATAGCCTTCATGTTAAATATGGGTTTTAATTGGTTATTATTTAATTAACGTTTTTTTTTTCAACATTATTAATAGGATTATGCAGCAATGTTGGGCTAAACTGGAGTCTCTCTTATATATCCTGAGAAGTGTTTGGTAAAATTGTTGTTAGTCTATAAGAATGCAGTATTGACGTTAATGATAATTAACTGCTTACATCCTGCAGAAAATGAATTCTAATTATTCATCACTACCATTACCAACTTGTCAATGAACAAGATCCTGTGCCCATAAATTGTTTTTCTATTGCATGGCATTATATTATCACACCAACTGATCATTGCTAAAATGATCCAGCCATTAAGCTCTAGATTGTTATCTCTAAATAGACTGACAGTCCATAATCTAAGCAATTCTTTATTGATAAACTTTTATTCAGAAAATTCCCAAAAATTGTCTGCTCTGAAAACCTTTCAACCCTCCTTTGGAGTCCATCAGAAAGCAGATGCTTCTAGTGGTAGTAATGAGAAAAGTAATGCAAGTATTAATGGCTTAGTGCTGTCCCTTGCACAGAAAAGAGATGTTCTTGCAGAACTCAATCATGCTTCTGTTGAAACACTTCAGGAGTATGGCCTCAAACTCTCAGCAGCAACGGCACTCTGTGACTGTCGACCTCTCACTTGCATCACTCAAGTAAGTTGTAATACAAGAATTGTCCCTTGAATTATTACATAGAACATAATTGTGCATATACGTAGTCTAATATTGTCATTTTCAATACCGTAGTATTAATTTTGCCTGCTAGAATATCATGTATATGTATATATTTGTATGCATCATATTTACAATTATTGATATTTAATTTTTGAACCCATTCATATTTTCTTATGATATTGCTTTCTTCCTGAAATAATTTAACATAATCAAAGATAGTTTCTTATTGTTTGCAAGTCCAATGTTGATGAATATCAGTTTTTTTAAAGTACCCATCTGACCAGGCATGCATAAGTTATGTATAGGAACAGTTTGATATGGTAGATGAAATAAAATACAACAAATGCTTACCATAACCAGCAAGTTACATTCATTCAACTCATTAGAATATACTCACATTGTGATGATCAATGTAAATCAACAAACTGCATTTTTTATTTCAACATTCAACCTTTCTGTGGCCTTCCTGCTCAATTATGCATAACAAGTCAACTAACTGCATCTGTTTTCACAAAGAGTACACATTATCACTAATGTTGTTCCCTATAGGCAATTTTTTATATATGCATGGAGAATTTATCATTTCCAAATCATTTACAAAAATTACTGAAATATTTTGAGAATCTTAACCACTAATACAAAACACATGAGCATCCACCATTTAGTGGAAACTTTTCTCACAAACCAAAAGGTCTTCATGTACAAATTGCAAGAGAGCTCTTAATTTACATTACAATAGTTTTGAATTTTCTGGTTTGCTCAAATGTAAGAAAAATATATTAGGTACTGATCAGAAGTGTGCTGATCAGTAATGTACTGATCCACAGTGTGTGCATTTCATTATAAATGAGCGAGTTGAGTGTAGTGGAGGAACAGTGACAAATTACATGTCCTTATAGGGAGCTACTTTTGCAAATTCCCAAATTTTTAAAATCCTGTTTTTTTAAATTGGCCTCTTGAACTTTCATTTGTTGTGTAGTTAGTGGTACCTTAAGAATTTAGCTAGTTTTAGTTAGAAAATTCCATTGTGATAAATTTTATTTTTCTTTGTCTCTTTTTAGCTGGAAAGCGTCCCTGGCATTGGAAAGAAATTATTCCGTCATGTATGTCAGAATATCTGCCTTGTTTCAAGTCTCAATGAACAGCCACTGAGACCCCTGATCCCAAAGAATTTTCAATTGGTGAGCATGGCTATCTAATTATGCAAGTTTTCCTTTGTAACATATTTGTCATTTTATTTTGATTTTACATAGTTCTGGTTTTAATTGTTCATTGGGTTGTAGTGAATCAACTAAACCAGTATCAGTCATACATCTAATATGATATCTTAGTATGTAAATAAATTCTTGGATCTATAGTTACTAGAGCATTCATAGGCACATCTCCTTGTCAAAAAAACCTATTTAAGAAGAATTCTGTGCCATGAACATTGCAAATTCATCATGCAATGTTTCAACTTGAGCTACCGTAACTCACTTCATTTTTGTGGCATAAAAAACTTATGGCTGCCGAAATATTTTGTAAGGCATTGTTTTCTGTGCACAGTTGCATCTTGCAGCTAATCTGCTTTTCAATGTTTAAGATGTTTGTAGGAGAAAGAACAAATTTCTTTGACACAAGTAAAAGACCTATGTATTAATTATTCCTAATAAAATTGTTCCATTCATACACATCTTTTGCTTTATGTTAAATTAATATGCAATGCCATCTATTTGGTCTCTACATTTAATTTGTTATCCTTGCCTTCTATTATGCGGTGTTTAATGTATTTTTATTTTCCTAACCATATTCTGCAATATAGGTATACATGATATCTAATTTGTTTGATATCTAATTTGTGTTCTTATTACTCTTCTCAGCCCAAAAACTTGGTGGCAGTGACAGTTATGCGTGGGTGCATTTGTTACTGCCATCTTTTTGTGGAGCATGCAGCACCCCAGGCATTGGCAAGTACGAGTTCTCTTCAAGTGGAGCTGCTTGATGCTGGCCTTGTCCCGATTGAGACCAGCGACAGCAAGCTCCACCCATACAAGCTATATGTGAAGGTGTGCAAATAAATGCTTCATCCATCATCTTCACTAATTGAAGTGGGTATTTTCTCCACCTTAAATCAAAAACTAAACTTTATGCTCTTGATAGACTATATTTTGTGACTTAATTCATTGAAACAATCATAAAATTAATTCTTTTTTTAAGAGTGTCTTTCATTATACACAATGTATCATGTATATATACAGAACCCTCAATATTTATCATTGAAATTTATTTGGAATTCAATATTTCACAGATTTTTTCAGTGTAAAATGACTTATTAAAATAGGGAATCATCACATTCTAGAAATTTAAATTACACTATAGAACATTTTAATAAAAATTTAATTAACATTAAGAATGTGCAAGCTGCTGGTAAATATTGCAAATAAATTTATTTCGAAGTATTTTCATCTGAAGAGAATGCTGTTCAAAAAGTTTGTCAGTAAAATTATATAAAAAAAAATTACTGAAGAAACTGTAAGTGTGCAAAGTGTCCAGAATCAACCGAAATGAAGACTGCTAGATGTTCAAAATTGGCTACCAGGTGAAAATTCTATAGAAATCCTGGGAAATCCATGCAAAGATTCATGGGCATAACAGAACGTTATTATACGGAAACATCATTAGGGTTCTAAGTGACCAGACCAGACCAGATATTTTTTCCCAGGTTGAGGAAGCTATGAAAAATGTGCCAGAAGCTGACATATACGTGATGCCTAATTTGCAGTATGGTATGTATACACGCAAGCTCTCTGCCACAGACACCAACATTAAGTGTCAGCTGGCTCAGGTTAGTAACAATGCACTAAGTGTTTATGAATTTTTTATTCTTCTATAATATGAGGAACCCAGTGAATACTGGTGTAGGCTTGTATGTAAACTTTTTTTCCAGTTGAATCATGTAGAACATCTTGCTAAATTTGACCTGATGGAAAATATTTACTGGATAAAATATGCATAGCAGAACTTCTTAGAAGAAGTAGACAAAAGACTGGCACTATGGAAAGAAGCAATAGAGTGAAGGCATGCTTGCCAATTGTGACCAGGAACGTTGACAGCATTTCATTCTGTGACTGTCCTCCTCCACTAGGTGACGGGGATGCTGCAGGCGATGCTCATCACAAAACGCACCTCGCACTCGCCTGTTCTCTACCATGTGCGAGAGAGCTTCATCAATGGCCTATTCAACCTCAAGGTGAATCGAAGCCAGCATTTGTGGCCTGAATTTCCACAGCTCTTGTGCGGCAAAAATTCATCTTATACTTATTAATATCGTTGAAGATTGACTTTTCCTTATTTTATCTACCGTTTCCCATCTGCCTAGAAGATGGTATATTCAATCTTCTAGAATCTAGGTAGTTCCGATATATAGTTTCCTTGGAACTAATTAATCATCATATTTATTTCATTATCGTCTAGGGCATGATTTTATTTGTCTGGCTCAGGTGGGAAGTGCAGTAATGTCCAACTTGCCTCTTCTGCGTCACTTGCTTGCCGGCACAAGCCTACACAGCATTGTGAAGAATGCGTCAGGTCCCGTGGACCATGTGCCGCGAGTGGCTATCAGTAGTGTGGCGTATGAGCGATGCCTTGAGCTCAGTAATGATGACCAGCGCACCCTGGCGCCTGCTCTCTACTGCAGCCTTGCCTTCTGTGCCATCCTTTCCAGTGCATCTGACCCTGCGTCACAACAAAGATGACAACCACGACTGCAATGTGCATGTCTTTTTTTTTTATACGTTGTAAATTGACTATTACAACTTGGTCAAGTTCCTACATTTAGAGACAGCATCAGTGCCTCTGTAACCTTGATTTGCATTTGAACGGTTTTCAGGTCACCCTTTAGATTAGGTTTTTCTTGATGCATATCTCAGATTTGAACCTGCTATAGTGCTCTCATTGATTTTTCGGATAACATCTCATAAAAAAATTCCACTGTGTATTAATCATGAAGTGCTGTAAGGCTCCTTAAAATGCAAGCCCAAATAAAGATTTTTCCTAATGAGGCTTGTCAAGTGAATACGAAGGAGTATCTATCTGCTTATTCTTCTTATTCTCCCTTCTGGATTGCTGGTAAGTTTGTGTTGTCTTTAATATTGTTGAAACTTGAAATATTAGTCCAATTTTATTTTGCTGTGGAGGATCAGTATTCTATCTCCTAATGTAAAGGCTGTCTCTGCAAGTTAAGCTGATGGTGCTATCATTAATTATTTTCTACGGTTCATAAATGTTGCGTCGAGATACTAGCTTTCTCAAGCAATTTTCTGCAGTTTGTCTTTATTGTGAACCTGTGGAAGTCAAGTAATGAACGTTATGTGTCTGCCCACCTGAACCTCTATAGGCGAAAAAGATAGAAATAATCCCCATCGCTAGGAGTCGTGCTGTGCGTGATGACTTTCATTCAAACAACTAAGTATCTCCGGAGACGTGAGACATCAGTATCTGGCATTATTGTCAGAATTTTTGAACTCAAACTCGCGTATTTAATCCATTAGTTCTATCTATTTAAGGGTTTGATCTCTTGGTCCCTGCCTTTTTCATCGGAGGACTGCAGTATCACACCTCTGGCAAGGGTTTCGCTTGAAGGCAACCATGAAGTATTTCGTAAGCCACTTCTCCCCAGTGTCGCCTGCTGAAACATGGTTTTCTCATAGATATTCAAATAAAAATAAGCCTGTTTCCGTGGTAACTGTGCAACATGCGTCCAAGCCCGACGTGTAGCTTCATTATTTCCCATAGCTGGTAACTTTTTTATCCTAAACAATTACGAAAGACGATGACGAGTTTTTACTGAGACATATTTTAGGACAGAAGCAAAGTTGTCTGACTAATGTGTACCGTTGATGTCATTCTGAGCCCGGTCAGCCATATTCGTTTGAAATGTTTGCTGACCATAGAGTTGTAACCTCAATTCTAATCGTTTTGCCAACGATAATAAATGATCCGACCAGTTCAAATTGCATAACCTAAAAGTTTCCTGAGAGTCGGCTATTGAAATGCACTTTCAACGGTCAACCTGTAGAACGAAGTAGCGTTAGAAAAGTTTGTCGGAATTTCATATCACAATATCGATGGTACCTTTAGTTCATTAGAATGAATTATACGTGCCACAATATATTTTATTGCCGCTGCATTAAGACCTGGCTGAACGAAGTTTGATCGTTGGTGAAAAATCCAATTCACCGAAGTTTAACACAAACACTTTCAGACGTCTTGATCTCCCAATCAACTAGTCTTATGGTGGTCTTTTTTATTCGCTCACTTCGAACAAATCATACATGGGGCTAGAGTAGGTCGCTTGTTAAGTTGAAACTTCTTATTTTTAGCGATGTTAGAGGTGGTACGCAAAGGTTGAACTGGACAAACTAGGGCAAGAACAGGCCGTACATTGAGTTGGAACTTGTTGAATTTATCAAGAGCAGGTCCTTCGTTGAGTTGGATCTGTTCATATGTATCGGACTAGAATTGGTCATCCATCGAGATGAACTGGTCAAAACATTGCCAGAACAGGTCGTGCGTAAAGTTTTAACCAGGTCACGTGAGGGTTGGACGAGGTCTTGAGTTTAGCTGTATCAGGTCATGTAGAGGGCTAGCGAAAATAAGCGCCTTCATCCACCGAAACGCGAAGAGTTGCACTACGCATATCGAAACCCACAGCGTCAAGTAAATTGCCATTAGGAATCACAATAACAGCACCTGGTGTTCAGGTTGGAGCAGCCCGCCTCAGATCATTAAGACGCATCAAACCAGAACATCCCACAGTCAAATGTCTCAGCGATGGTGGCAAAATTTATCTAGCACATCGTACAGAGAAGTACTGCGGGTAGTCTGTAGTACGAACACTATCACGCAGAAGCTGTAAGAAATGAACATTTCACCTGGCACGCTTAAAACTGCAATGCCAGATCCTACCAACAGAAGCTGTTGACCACTGGAGACCGTAACCCACACTTGAGACCTCTGGAGACCGTAACTCCTCGCAGTCCGAACGCAGAATGTGGAACTATTTATTTTATCCCATGGCTAATAATAATAATAATAGCGGTTTCAGCGTTTATTAGGCCGTAGGCCTGTCGCCGATTCTGAACTTCGCAGAACATTCGCAGCATTTCGCGGGCTTGAACTCGCAACTCACTGCTACAATTCTGCTTTGCTTAACCGCCCGGCCTCCTTGCCGATTCTGACCAGAAACTGGCGCACAGAGCTGGGATCGAACCCGCGCGTCTCTGCTCCAATCTTGGTACTCTGAACTTTAACCACTGGGCCACCCTGTGCTATCATTGTCTGGCTACGATTGAACTATTATATGTTCAATCATGATTTAACCCATGATGCAATGGTTGCCCAACCCTGACTGTATTTAAAATATGCGTTAATATTTGATGGCTGCTAAAATGAAGACCACCCCTTGCTTCTAAAAAGTTTTAAAACCCTGAAGCTAGGCTTTAGCCTTATGCTCTGTTCGACGACATGCGCGGATCTTTGGTTCAGTCAATTTTGAGGGCTTCTTCGTGATATTATATTTTACATCACCACCAAAAAAATTATCTCTGGCTGAAAGATGAATTTAGAAAACCGCCCATTTTTACCATGTCCAGATAACTGACCTGTGTGAGATCATCTCTACACCTTCAACAAAATCAGCAACAATCGATCGTATATAGTAGTGAGAAATTATATACATAGGAATCACTATCAGGTTACAAAGCCATATGGGTTGGAAGTTCGCAGTGACCAAGAAATATTTTTCAGCATGCTGAAAGGAAGATTTAAATGAAACGACACACACATGGACTCGTTTATACGTTTTGATAGGGCTGCGCTGGTATGGTAGGACACATCACAGTGACTATGAACTATATTAAAAATTATAAGTTAAGAAAGCACCTTTATTTGACACGACCCATTAGTGAAAATCCGTTGTCATGTATGATATAATGTGAGACGTCTCCCATTGAAACTCGTGCATCGTTTTTTCAATAATTATAAAACGCCCATTCCAAATTTGGTTGATATGAATAGTTAAATGGAAAACACTACTTGTACGTTTCATTTAGAATTCCGATGAATGCATTAACTAACCCCATTCGTTTGTCACCCTGCAATATTACATCACTATTTTTTTGTCCATTTTTAAGTGACGACCCTTTATATAGGATCGACATCGTAGCAGGTTTCTAATGAGTGATGACTGCATTACTACAGGAGCAAAAATCCTATTTTATATTGAAAGTATATCTGCATAAAAACTTATGCATAGAAATTGCTCTCGTAGCAGCGGTTGATTTGATGAGCTCACATAAGAATTCTTATCGAATGAGATTCGATAAAAGAATTCTCACACCTGAGTCTTATGGCAACATCTCTGCTCAGTTGTTTTGGTTCTTGCTTTATGGTGTGTTAGGGAAAGAGAGGGTGAAAATGAAGCTCGAAGGCCAAGTGAGTGAATTTTATAATCTTGTGTATAAATTTAACTTAACACTTTGTGAGGGCCCCTCATTTATTTCTATAATAATTTTTGGCTCATATACGGTTTACAGTCGATGCGTTATGTCTCTTTGGTTGAATCTTGAATTCATGGAGGCTCTTTGCCATCATAGGTACCTAGCTAGATGGTGTGGTGAAATCAAGACGATCGCTTTGTTCAACTTCTTACGAAACGTGCATAAAATTTTAACATGTCACATGTGCATTTCGAGTATAGAAGTGACAGTTTTTTTTTTAATTTCCATCATAGTACCGTTACTAGTAGACTACCATACTATTTATCTGAGGAATTTCAAGATTGTTTGACATGTGCAAATAATCATGGTGGCAAAGCAGAGAGTTTTTTAGACTCTCCCTCAAGTTCATTTTTGAGTCCTATAAGTAGACTAGTAAAGTATCCTGGATACTAGCATCCATAGTGACAAAGCAGAGAGTTTTTTAGACTCTCCCTCAAGTTCATTTTTGAGTCCTATAAGTAGACCAGTAAAGTATCCTGGATACCAGCATTATCATACTTAAGAAATTGGTTTAAATCTTGAGTAAATGAGGAAATTCAAAATGAACTGATTCTAAAAAAGCTCTGGTTTGCCACCATAGTGGCAAACTAGTCTGGAAAAGTCCTATTTTTGTCTGAAATATCGCGGCTCTAATATCATATAATTTCAGTAGGTATGAAATCTTGCGGCTCGAATGTCATAAATTTTTGTTTGATTAAAAAATCGCGGTTTGCACTTCACAAACATGTCATTTCATAAAATTTTCAACTTCCGCAATCCGCATTGCTTTACCGTTTCCGCCAAAAATATCTTGCAGATAAAACATAAACATCATAATGTAAACAAATAAACAAAACGTTTGTTGAAGATCGCGCATAGTTGCAGTCATGTCAAAGCGGTCAGACTGTATATTAACACGTGCTGAACTTACAGTAGAGACAAATTTTATCGTTGCCGTTTGACTGTTTAAGGGTAAAATTAGAGATTTGGGGTAACACGTGCACAAACTTTGTAAATAAATTTGCATTCGCACCTCGTAAATGACTTTTCATGGCCGAGATATGGAATTCATGGCTCGGTGAAATAGAATCACGGCTTGTAGAAATGGAATCACGGCTGGCAAATCCATAAAACCACTGCTCAAAAAATTCAGTCGCGGCTCGCCAAGTAGATATATTCCATACTAGGTGGCAAAGCAGAGAGTTTTTAGCATCAGTTCATTTTTAATTTCCTCATTTATTCAAGATCTAAACCAATTTCTTATGTAGGATGATGCTGGTATCAAAATTCAGTCGCGGCTCGCCAAGTAGATATATTCCATACTAGGTGGCAAAGCAGAGAGTTTTTTAGACTCTCCCTCAAGTTCATTTCTGAGTCCTATAAGTAGACCAGTAAAGTATCATGGATACCAGCATTATCATACTTAAGAAATTGGTTTACATCTTGAATAAATGAGGTAATTAAAAATGAACTGATTCTAAAAAATCTCTGGTTTGCCACTATGTGTGCAATTGTGGGGAGCGCTGCCGTAGCCCGAAAATTTGACTCTTAAATCAGCCCAAGAGCCAATGCCAACCCTCTACATGCAATAGAAATAGTCAGCATAACACCTATGCAGCTGTTCTTACTTGCCTCATCTCGCCACACCAGCATGAAACAAGCAATGCCTCAGCCCACAAGCTGTGCTCCAAACGGATTACGCCCAATAGCTCTTACACCAATGATTTAAGCTCATACCATCACTTCTTCCGAATGCCGTAAGCCACAGGGTCCGCAGACCGCACCAGACTGCCGTCAATGGGAACGGCCCCGCACCGGACTGTTGCATCACCAAACCCACTTCGCAGGCATAAGCCCAGCCCTGACGCTCACCAGCATCTTCTTCCCCCACACTTACACCCTTCTCTCCACCTTTCCGCGAAAGGGTTAGGTTAGGTTTGGTTAGAATTCTTCCGCAAGCTGGTACCGAAAGGAGGGGGAGCAGGGGGGTAAGCGTGGAGGTTTAGCCTCCAGAAGAACGGACAGGCTGGAGAGGGAGCAGTGTACTGATAGCACTGTGGCGCAGGGCGTTCTTTATCGAAAGTGGGGAAGGGGCTAGGCTGCATGGAATAGAAATATATTGGGGTTTAGCATGTGGGTTACGTCCGTTGTTTTGGCGGCCTGCAGCTCATTGGCTTGCTGGTTTACATCCATGAAGGGGTTAGGTCCCTGTGGCTTTCAGCAAGTAATCATGTTGGCTAATTTGCTCTGCAGCATGCTTGTGCACGGGGAGAAGTATGAAAATTATGCAGGTATTGGGCAATTCTGGGCTATTTCAGTCATTCCAATTGTGCATGAAAACTTTCCATGTACATTTGAAACTGCATATATCCTAGTGGCAAAGCAGAGAGTTTTTTAGACTCTCCCTCTACTTCACTTTTGAGTCCTATAAGTAGACCAGTAAACTGTGAGTAAAGTATCATGGATAGGCTTAGGGTAAACGTGGTATATTCCGACACTTTGAGGATGTAGCAAAAAATGAATGGCTGTAAATAAACGTACGCGCAAGTTGAGTTCTGTTTGCTTTACGTCACTAGACTCTCCCTCAAGTTCACTTTTGAGTCCTATAAGTAAACCAGTAAAGTATGGATACCAGCATTATCATACTTGAGAAATTGGCTTAATCTTGATTAAATGAGGAAATTAAAAATGAACTGATTCTAAAAAAGCTCTGGTTTGCCACTATGCATCTCCAAACATTGCACTACGGTCTACGCGCCAGCAACAATGAAACTTCACAAAATGTTGCCATATTTATTTAAAAGCCTCTAGAATGCAAACCTGCCAAATCCATATATTCCAACACTGTGTGACAGTGTGAGTGTGACTAAATTTGGCATTTTGTGAGACTAATTCTGGCCGTGCTTCAAACTCTACTAATTCGTAATTCCGACACTCTTGTGTTCAAATTCTGATCCTTGTGTGAGCTGTATTGGAATACAACAGCTTGGAATTAGAACACTATTGAATATTGAACACTACTTAGGATTTAGGCTTTTAATTAAGAGCTATTAAGCTTTTAATTAAGAAAATTTTAATTTTTGCACACAGCTAGGAACAAGCTGTGTGTGTCAAATTCCAAGCTGTGTCAGAATTAGTTTTTGTGTCTATAACTGTCTCTTAAATTAATCATCTATTAATTTATTTACGACTTGAAATCAGCAAATACATACAAGTATACTTGAAGGATTCCTAATATATTCACAGACTTATTTAAAAGTCTCAAATCATAATATTCTTTCAGTCTTTCTACACAAACAGTTTTATCACTATTTGGTAATGCAAGGTCAACTATCAACTTTGACGAATTTTTCGATGTTCTTGCTGGGTGACGCACACTGTCTGTCATTGGATCTCAACATTTTCCCGCCAGACGGCCCAGACCTAGTGTTTTGGCAATAGTATGGCACGCAAGAGTATGACGTCACTATTTCAACCAACAACAAATGCCTGGAACTAAGAAAAAGCTTAATATAAAGGAAAAAAGTCAAGAAGTGTCGGAATTACCTATGATGTCGGAATATACTGCATTTACCCTACCAGCTTTATCATGCTTAAGAAATTAGCTTTAATCTTGAGTAGCTGAGGAAATTAGAAATTAACCGATTCTAAAAAATCTGCCAATTGCAGTCATTCAGATTTTCAACTTTTTTCTAAATAGGGTGAACACACCATATTCCGACATATTAAGGACGTACCAAGAAATGAATGGCTATAAAAAGATCACTGTATGCGCAACTCAATTCTGATTGCTTAACGTCGCTCTCAAAACACTACACTATGCGCCAGAAGGCAGCAACAATGAAACGTCACAAACTGTTGCCATATTTACTTGAAAGCCTTTAGAATTCAAATCCACAAAATCCCTGAATTCCGACACTTTGTGTGACTAAATTTGGCATATTGTGAGACTAATTCAAACAGCGCTTAAAACTCTTGCTAATTCGTAACTCTAACACCCTGTGTCAGGCTGTGTGAACTGTATCAAAATACTACATACCGTAAAATGGGGTAACTTAGACCACTTTTTTTCTTATAAATGATGCCATTTTCTTACTAGCTAAATTAAACTTGAATTGAAACATGCAAAATACAGGTCTATACTCTAGCTTCACTCACCATAAATTGCTGGCTCCTGCCTCTCATAGTCCTTATGTAATTTCAAAAAAAGTGATGGTCTTTGTTACGCCAGCTCTTGGGGTAACTTAGACCGGGTGGTAAGATCAATTATTTTTTTTGGTAAAATAACTCCAAATAACTCCAGATTTTGGTGCATTGTAGTAGAACTCTTCTAGTTACATATGCAAATGACAAACTTGAGGAAAGTGTCATAGTTTGCAAATGGGGGGCGCCACCCCATAAATCTTTCTATTGTGTTATGTAGCCTCAGTATTAGGCCTTTAATGCCCATTGACAAAATTTTTCTATGTCAAATAGTTTTTGAGTTGTGGGGGTTTTTGTAAAAAAAAACGAAAAGTGGTCTAAGTTACCCCATTTTACGGTAGCTCGGAACAAGCGTAACTAAAAAACTTTAATTTTTTAATTAAGCTTTTAATTAAAAGCTATTAAGATTTTAACTAAGAAAATTTTAATTTTTGAACACAGCTTTTTATATGTCTAAAACCATCTCTTAACTTAATCATCTATTAATTTATTTACCACTTAAAATCAGCAAATACAAGTATACTTAAAGGATTCCTAATATATTCACAGACTTGTTTAAGAGTCTCAAAGCATAATATTCTTTCTACACAAACAGTTTATCACTATTTGGTAGAGCAAGGTCAACCATCAACTTTGACACGTGTTTTGATGTTCTCACTAGTTGACTTGGACTTTCGCTCTGAGGATCTTAACATTTTCCTGCATGAGCAGCATGACCTAGTGTTTTGCGGGAATCTGGCACGCAATAGTATGTCACTATTTCAACCATCTACGCATGCGTGGAACTAAGACAAAGCTTAATATAAAGGAAAAAGTTGAGAAGTGTCCAAATTACCCACGATGTCAGAATATGGTGCATTTACCCTATTTGGCAGTGGAGACTGGCAAATATCTAGAATGCAAAAATTTCAATCCAAATGTGTCAGCAAGAACTTCTGAAAGCGTAAATTTAGCCGCTGATGCATCACCAAAGATCTTGAGATATTCGCCCACTTTCAGCAGAGTGGGTCAATTGGACTGATTTTGCCCATTACTATGGTCTTTTCTTCAATTTCTTATGTGAAAAATTAGTGTCTTTTATGTGCAATTAAAAAATCACCTGGGGAGATATTAGATTTTACTTTTTATCTGCAATTTTATGAAACTACTTCAGTTCTGCCAATATTACAAATGACCCTTGTTAAATTGTCACAAAAAACCTGTCTGAATTGTGATTAGTAGTGTTTTATTGCCACAGAATAATTGATAAACTTTTCAGTTGTGCTTTAAAGTTATGACCAAATATATTTTATAATAGATTACAAGCCTTAAATTTATACCTAACAATATAAGTTGCAAATTACATATTGGTAATCTTTACACCCAGAATTATAATATATGAATAGATAATGTAGGTGACTGTTTTAGTGCATCTTCTTATTTATGGAAAAAGGCGCCATTGTGCTTGTAAGGTGCTCGTGAAGTCTTGTCCATCTGTCCACAACTTCATGGATGGACGGACAAGAAAATGCGTGCTGTCACTTACCGTAAAATGGGGTAACTTAGACCGGCGGGGTAACTTAGACCACTTTTCGTTTTTTTTACAAAAACCCCCACAACTCAAAAACTATTTGAAATAGAAAAATATAGACCTGTATTTTGCATGTTTCAATTCAAGTTTAATTTAGCTAGTAAGAAAATGGCATCATTTATAAGAAAAAAAGTGGTCTAAGTTACCCCATTTTACGGTACTGTGCAGTGGGTACTGATATAATTTTTTTCCTATAGGCCATAGAGCTATGTTTTGCCAACAACTACAATGCATTGACAACTGTCTGAATGCACAAATGTTAAATCACTTAATTTATGACTCATCTTGCAAATTCTTCAAAAAGACTATTATGCATGATTGCGTGTATCTGAAAAATATACAATTTTAGTAAGTTGCTCAATTGATTAGTTTGATTAAAAAATGAATAGGCAGATTGATAATTAAATATGTTGATTGAATGTTGAAGCAGACTATTATTGCTAGTTAGAAGTTGAACTTAATGTTTTAAAGTAGCACAGAAACATTTGTAATAATGCCACATCAAGTGGCTGTCATTTTGCCTCCATAGCTATCAACAATGTCCAAAAATTGACCATATGATTGTAGATGTGACAAGATTGTTCTAATCAAATGTTCTCCAAGTTTGCTAGCAGAATCAATTTTTAAACTATGAATTTATAAATCAAATTAGAAATCAAATTCTTTTTTATACCAGAACTCTTCATTCCACATTGAAAATAAATTTTCAGGCTGTATCTTATTATTCATAGTTAGCAGTTATCGATACATATCACAGCTTCTATTAGTCAAGACTAACTACCAGTGGCAGTTTCTAATAGTCAAGATAGGAAGCATTACGCATGGCTCACTTACCTATATTCATGGTGTGGTTTGTGCTCAGGCAGCTCAACTTTAATGTTATCATACAATATTGCTTTCAGCATATATCATCAAAATGATTTGATATTCCATATGCTAAGTTCTTAGTCTTGTCATTGCAAGTACTGCCATCTTGAATCAAAGTGGCAAACCAGAGATTTTTTAAGAGTCGGTTCATTTCAGTCTGCTTATATGACTCAAAAATGAACTTGGGGAAGAGTCTAAAATACTCTCTGGTTTGCCACTATTTTGAATCCATTACAACCAAATCCTGTTACTAATTATAACACCTACCAATTGGCAAATCATATTAGAAATTATTATCCAATAATCCTTTTGGAAAATTGGAAATCATGTTCTATCTAAAAGCATTTATATGTCAATTTAGCCCTTTCATAATTCAGCATAATTCATCATTATATAGAAAAACTGAAAATATCTAACCTCTAATGAGATGAATTAGAAATTTAATTTGTCTCCTATTTATTTTTTAAAAGAACTACCATCAATTTTTGTAAACTTCTGCCCAGTATTTCAAATTTAGTTAAGCCAATATGTTTTTCTTGCCTTTACTTAATTTCTAACATTAAAAATATAGCAGCCCAGTTTTTAGTTAGCACAATGATTTTTGAAAATTGTGCATAAAATGATAAATTTTCTTGCAGCCTTCAGAAAAATCCATCCAATATTCCAGATTGGTATAATTCTAGTCTCCTCATATCCCATTCTGGAAAATTGGGCAGAAGCCATCTGTAAATGAGACAAGAATGCCTCTGTTTGTGAATAATTTTACAAATTTTCATGGCTCCTGCATAATTCTCACATAAAGATTAAGAGAAATTGCACATTTTAGCACCATTTTCAACAATATGCCCGTGATTTACATTTAAATAGCTTTCACCTGTGATTTATTGAAAATTATTCCCTGTATACCAGATTGTCTGAAGTTGAGTATTATTGAATCGATACTTATTCTCCCTTACTAGTTGTTCCTGGTGGGACATATTTTCATTAAAAATTATTTCTATTTAAATTACTCTTTTTGAGCCATGTCACTAGAAGTTAGGAAGTTTAAAATTTATTATCAAATAATAAAGAAAGCTAATTATTGATTCAAATTCATCTTGTAGCAGTTGAATGTTCTATTATGAAGCTCAATTTTTATTTCTTTCGCTATGAAATAATTAAAATTTGGTTTGAAAATGATAAAAACTATTTTATGTCCTACTTCAAATGTAGTGAATATTATTCTGTGATAAGGACCATCACCATACCCACCAAAAAATTATACCGATCTTTAACCTGATTATAATTAACAATTAATTAATTTGTTGCTTACTATTGATTTATCTTGCAGTTGAAGGAGTTCACCATCATTGGGCGCAAGCTGCCCACAAAGATTGACACTAATCCCCAGCTCTACAAGATGCGGATTTTTGCTCCCAACATAATTGTGGCAAAGTCGCGCTTCTGGTATTTTTTGAGCAAGCTCAGGAAAGTTAAGAAATCCAGTGGAGAGATTGTTCAAGTCAAGCGGGTAAGAATGATAACTTTCAAAAATTTATTCTCACTATTAAAAGTGTTACAAAAATTATTAGTTTCCTCACTTTGGGCGTTTCCTCACTCTCCTCAACTAATCAAGGAGAAGGAATATCAGGGCGATTTGCACTCCGTCAATTTGCAGTTTGATAGCATTTCAAAAAGGAAATTATACTAACTTTGTATACACTACAAGACATTAATGTGTACAAAATGACATCCTTTGCACAGATCTTCATGCATTTTCTATGTTAAGCCATTACCTATTTGTAGGTGCACGAGCCAGAACCAACCAAGGTGAAGAACGTGGGTATCTGGCTGCGCTATGACTCGCGTTCAGCAACGCACAACATGTACAGAGAGTACCGTGACCTGACCATGGCTGGTGCCGTCACTCAGTGCTATCGTGACATGGGTGCTCGTCATAGAGCTCGTGCTCACAGCATCCAGGTCAGCTGCTTACGGTGTCTTTGTTACATCATTTATTTATTTTTTTTACTTCGATTCCACTTGCTACGGCTTGTATCCGATCTCGTCGCACAGCCAATCACAAAATTTGGTGCCGCTATCCATGTCTGTGGGCAACTTTTTTTGCTCCAGGAGCAAATACATGGAATTAATGCATTCATTTATATTCTGTGGTAGCGAACAATTGTTTATGTTATATGCCATAAATTTTTTTAGAAATTAAGCTCGAATTTGTATGATCGATGATACAATTTTTGTCTGTAATATTGAATCTTTATTTATTCAATTCCACCAGATCATGAGAGTGGAGGCGATCGAACCAAAGAAGTGCAGGCGGCCACACACTCTGCAGTACATCAACAAGAACCTGCGCTTCCCCAAGCTGTACAAGCGCACCAACGACCCTACCAAGCCTCGTATCCGCCACAAGATCCCTCAGCTCGCCGTGTTCTAAATACAGGCTGGTCTCGGGTGCTTATGATTTTCTTCCCCCTTCATGACTCGTCAGATCTTTTAAAGCGTGGTTGCAATGCCAGCTTGGATAATGCGAGTTTTTTCTATAGTCCTGGAATAGGCGCTACAAGTTTATTGCCTCGTTTCACCTGAAGTTATATTCTCGCTTAGTCGATGAAAATTCCTACTTGAAGCACCATATCTAGAACGGTATTTGCTGCCTAATCTAGACTTGCTTCAATGTTTAAAAAAGACGATAGCTCATCATGTGCATGGCGATTTGATACCTTTTCCTTCATCCGTCAGGTAAATAATGTTTTAGAGGACTCCAATATGCCTTAGTGCATTGCCGTTGCGCGTACAAAGATATGGACGTTTAAAATCTTGATGTTAGTTATGTGAAAGAAAGCGGTGTCAAATTCACCCGAAGATCTACGGTGTGAAGATACGTGCTCCCGTACGACGTTATTTCGATAGTCAAGTTCGAAGTTGATTAAAGTTGTCACATTACCCAGGATCGTAACTCTGCTACTCTCAACGCGCCGTTTCTGCGCGATCAAGGTTAGTATCATACCTGTTGTTACCACATGAATGTTTTCATACCCAGCATATTGCAGTACGTTGCATGTATATCCCACATGAGCCACCCACCCGTATGTAATGAACTCCCTACATTTTCGTTATTCTCGGCCAAGAAATCGCAACCGAATCGCCTACGTTATACCGTAGATAGCAACGTTGACAGTGATCTTGTTCTTTTGGTGTAAAGTTGGTTAGAAATTAATTGATGGTTTAATAGCTTTCAATTTGATTCAACGTTGAACGGAAATTTACGTTTTTCTTCTAATATTGAATTCGGATTGTCAACTGCCACACCGAGTATTGGCCAATATTCGTTGTTGACTTGATTCAATTCCGATTCGTCCACGTATCTTCCTGCATAGAACTTTTTTAACTTTCTGATAACTCTAAGTTAGGATGGTGGCTGAAGAATAGAGGTGCTAAGAATTGTAACCATTTTATTACCAAGATAAACACACCAAGTAACCCCTTGTAACACTAAATGCATGGAGTAATTAAAATTGAATTAGTGAATACGGGATATCACACAATTATGGTCCCACAACTATTCAGTTTATAATCAATAAAATAAATTTAAGGACAATGTCAGCTTCTCGCCTAACAATGGCCATTGGATTAGAAAAAGAAACATATTTCAACTTGAATGCCTGTACTAGAACATTCCGTGCGCAGGAAGAGCGTGATGCCGAGCAACTCTGCATGTTGTTCCCACTTGAGACGCGGATTTGTGTTTCAGAAGTATAAATATGAAATACTCCGAAGAACAATAAAAGTATACTCGCAAATTCAATACGTCCAAGGATGAATTTCAGCAGCATGCTAGATTAAAGAGTAAGAAAAGTAGAAAAAACGCTTCCAGCGAAGCCAAGTGGATACTACACTACTTTTGGTCTCTGCGGCAAACAAAGATTATAGTAAGCTTTAGCATTCCAAAACTTGGGGCCTTTCCATCCGCACCATCCTTGTTTCTGAATTACGGTAAGATCTTCACTGCCGGTATAATGCGGGTCTAGGATGAGATATTCGATGTCCCCAGATGATGGGTCGAATGAGACTCCTAAGATTGTGTGAGCCAAGACGCCACCTCCGATCATAACAGGCGTGCCTTGGGTGTTGAAATGTTGAACAAGCTCTCTTCCTTTCTCCGACAGTTCGTCGCCACTTGACACGCTAATTACTTTACTAGTGACGCCCAAATACGATTCAAGTACGAATCCAACTTCTGTGGAACCAATCCAGTCAGTTGATCCGATGAATTTGGATGGTTTGTCTCCCAAATCAACAAGACATTTTTGGATTTCCTCGTGAGATGGCACAGGTTTATTACTAAAGCCTTGGTGCCTGAACCATGACACGATAGTTTGAAGAGATCGGTAAGCGCATCCCCATTTGTTGTCATTGAATTTATCTTGCATATAGTGATGATAGCTGTAGATACCTTGAACAATACCTGTTAGGCCCTTCACAGAAGTGGGTTTCAGGCCCACATGCGTATTGTACAAATGGTAACTGGATTTTAGGTCGGCAAATTCGTAAGCATTTTTGCGACTCACGAAAGGACATGGTGGAAGCAGAAACACTTTGTTGACGTTTAGTCTATAGTCCTGCAAATCATCATCGCTCATTTCTTCTGGATATTGGAGACTGAGCAAATGCCCAACTTTGTAAGGTAGTGCTGTCAGAGTTTCTAATGTTCCCTTAACTTTCCTATCAACAAACCAGTACTGAGCCAACTTCAGCTGGCGCTGCAATGAAGACAAGAGCATGGTTCCGACCTCACTGGCGCTCTGTGAACGAAAGGCGTACGAAACGCACTCTCCTTGAAGACGTCCTCCATTCACCTCTTCACTATCCATCAGGGCATCAAACACAACGCTCTCAACAGGCCTGTAGCCGAACTTGACAGGTTGCCCACCCAGCACATCACCAAAGCATTGCCCGGCAGATGACAATCCTACCCCATATGACACTACACCGCTCGAGTCACCGTCGGCAGCTCTAAGAACCAGTTCAGAATCCTTCAATTGGAATCTTGTGGTTGAAATTCGTGACAGAAAAACGTCCAAACTGTCAGTCTCTCTGGGAATATCAAGCTGTAGACTAACTCTGCAGGCAATGATGGAGTTTTCAAACTGCTCCTGCGAAATGATGCTCAAGTTGGCATCTTCCCAAGGGGAGGAAGAATTTTCTCTCAGCTGAACGGATATATCTTCTCGCCCGACTGTCATCAGTAGTTTATCTTCCTAGAAAGCAAAGAAATCATTATTAATAACTATAATTTACCAAAATTATTTCCCTCAAAATCACTGTAGTTATAGTGAAAATTACAATAATATTCTTGCATATTATTCTACTTTCGACTGAAGATTAAACTGAAAGATATTTCCTTGTATTTTTAGATGGATATCAAATTTTTCTGTATAACTCACAGGATTTGGGTCTTCATCCCGTCCTTGGCGAACGTAGGTGCCAAGTAAAGTCACAGGCGCAGGCAACAAGTGGCAGCAGTCATGGGGGAGAAGTGATGGTTGGAATGTTGCATTGAGAACTGTCAAGTTTCCAGCACTGTCCACTAACCCATATAAATCACCAGCAGTGGCTATCTTGGTAGACAACAGTCTCTGCAAATTTAGAAAAATTTAAACTGCTTGACTGAGTCTGTGAGGATGAAGAGCTTCACAAAATAACCACATAAGTTGCAATTCAACGGTTTATTATAGTCTATTTATAGAAGTAGACTAACTCACAAGTACTCAAAGAATCAACAGAAGAATATCTATAAGATTTCAAGAATAACTACGTACCATACTTCTGGAGTAGCCTACTTGAAATATTGATGTCTTTATCATCATGAGAAACTGCTCACTTAAAGTTTACCCTTGTGTTGACTACCTCGCATTCAAACCGAAGGGCCATTGCCACTGAGCCACATTGCTTTACAGTTTAAATTATAAATTAGTTTCAAGTTAATTGATATTATTCAAACTAAATGTCACACAGCATTGCAAAATGATTTTTTGAAATATCTTGGCCGCCTACGTGGTGATTCGCGTAGTGCTCCAGATTATGCTAAGGATCAATATATCTGAACATTCTTCCGAGCGCGGTGAAAAGAAAATAGTTTTAAACTTAATACAACATACTAATTAATAATTAGTAGCTTAAATGATGCAAATTTTGATGAAATAGTTTTCATCAAAACACTTACCTCGTGCAGTTGTTTTAATATTGATATTGTGCAGGTCATGACGATTGAAGAATTTGAATATTATTGTCAAACAACTTGATTTGTTGCACACTGCCAGCCAGCTCCAGTAGACAATGTGAAACTGTGAATGTCGAATCAACTTAGCTGTCGTGGTCCACTATTGAAACTTTAGTCCGATCGAGAATGATTCGTTGGTGACAACCTAACCGGCTGCCTAACCGTTAATGATTGTTCATTCATGAGCATTTTTAGTTCAATTCATATGGAATGAGAAAAAGGTTGCTGCTTTTTAAATAATTTTCCTATTAGAATTTATGAATGAAATTGCCAACATGAATCATAGGTAGGCAGCAAAGGTGTGTGACCGTAGGTATATATTTAAATATATACGTAAATGCTATTACTTATTAGTCAATTTTTCCAGTCAAAGGGATACGTTGAAAAATTATATGGTATATATGTTTTTTCGAGTGAATTCAACATATAGAGAATCCTCATAGCATAGTTTTCCTGAGGTCCGACGTGTGCTTGAGGACGCGTTTTGATAATGAACTTTAATATTCATTTTACTCGGCAGTGTCGGCACCCTATTCGGCTCAAAAGTGACATGAAATATTCCAAGATTTGGATTCGAGTGTAAGGCTAAAGACTTAGTCAAATTAAAGTAATTTTTTGCAAAACCCATTGGCGGGCAAACTATATTCGTATGACAACATTCAATCTGGGAAATGGGAATCATATTTAGTAACTTGAAAAATAATCATAGTGGCAAACCAGAGTTTTTTTGGAATCAGTTCATTTTTAATTTCCTCACTAACTCAAGATTTAAACCACTTTATTAAGTATGATAATGCTGGTATTTATGATACTTTACTGGTCTACTTATAGGACTCAAAAATGAACTTGAGGGAGAGTCTAAAAAACTCTCTGCTTTGCCACTATGCATGATACTTTACTGGTCTACTTATAGGACTCAAAAATGAACTTGAGGGAGAGTCTAAAAAACTGTCTGCTTTGTCACTATGCTTGAAATTTCTCCAAAAAGTCACATAGCCTAACTGTAACTTGAATTTTAGCTAGCTAGTAGCTTGTAGCTATACATATATAGCCGCCGTTTGTGATACAGTTAGGTACTGGGCACAGCCGCACAAACATTATTAACGAATTTAGCGTACTAGCCTGCATCAGTGCATCTTCATCATGCATGCCTGTACCTATTCAATCAGACCAATTTAACTACACAAGCTCTCACTCTCAGACAGTAGTCAGTATCAATCAATGGTCATCCTAGAGGTTACCCTGTGGCTTTAAGTCCGAAGTTGGAATTCTAGAAATAATAGCTAATCTGTTGATCAGGATGGAATTTTAATTTCAGAGGTTCATATATTATTTCGATCCACCAAGACCACTTCTTTTATCCAACATCGTTATTTGAGGCAAAAAATGAACTTCTTAAAGGCTTAAAACACGCACGCTAACTTGCTCAGTTTCTATAAAGTACCAAATCACTTGGAAGTTGTAACTTGTAAACCTGCACCTATCACTCAACAATTAAAATTAGACTTATAAAAAAGTATTAGTTAGTTGAAAATTTGTCTCTTAAGTTGACCGCAATGAACTAAACTTCATTAAGTAATCATTAGGCAGAGTTTTTCATCATGCACACTAAACACGCAATTCAGAGTTCAGACGAGACGAAATTCATAACACATGAGCTAACATGCTACTGAATTGAATTGCTTCTTTCCCGCTAACGGTGATCTAGCGGGATGATCAATCGTTACTTAATTCGTATACGGTTGTATACGAATTACGAATTAACTAATCGTTTGTATACTTAATGCAAGAGAATGAATAATTATGTTGTTTCTGATCAAACAAACGAAAACTTTTTCTGTTTCTGATCAAATGAACGAAAACTTCTGATCAAACAAACGAAAACTTCTGATCAAACAAACGAAAACTTCTGATCAAACGAACGAAAACTTCTGATCAAACGACTGAAAACTTCTGATCAAACGAACGAAAACTTCTGATCAAACGAATAAAAACGACTTTGAATTCTAATACGGATCATTAATTTTACAGCGTATTTCCTCTTTTAATTGAAAAACATCCTTTTACATAAAAAACAACTAATTTTTTCTTACAGCTCCTCAGGAATGACGAATGAATGCTCCTCATATTGACAAATGACGATCTTACTCTTATAGCTAAAAATTTTAAATTGAATGATTTTGTCATTTCAAAGACTCCATTGATTACAGAACTTTTGTTTTTGGAAGTGTATTCAAGAAAAGTTTCTGAAATAGTAGAAACATTTCCATTATCATTCTGAAATAGAAGCGTCATTTCCGTTCTTATATATAAACAGGATTAATAAAATACCTATCAAATCCATCCAATGTCATTCAATTTGTGATGTATGAACGACCATTTTACTTTGATTCCTATGATGCTCATTTTTACCGGTTGAAGCTGTAGAATTAAATTACATTAAAAAATTAAATAAAATTAAATTTTACTAAATCAAAATTTATTATTTAATACACTAGATGGTACATGCTGTAGAATTAAATTCTATTAGAAAAATGTTAAATTAAAAATCTGATTATATTTTTTAAATTAAAAATTAATTTTTATTGTATTAAATTGTATTATTAATGCACTATACCGTACGTGCTCTGTTTTCTGTAATGAAATAGTTTCCCTTCTTAAACAACGAAAATTTTCTAAAAGACACAAAACGTTCGAAAACGCGGGATGGCAGACGAAATCATTCAGAATTTGAAGTCAATTTATCAAGATAAATTCAACATAATAGGGCAAAAAATTCAAATCTGGAACGTATAAATAGGTTTTTATAATTAAAAAAAAATTTCAATCATTTAAATCTCAGAATGGAATGTGAATCAAGTCTATTTATTGTGAAATCAAACTAGACACAACCAAAACATAAGTGTGTGACACCATCTTGTGGGAAGTAAACAGAAAACTCCATGTGAATGTATGCAGTGAAAGAGTTGAAGTTTATCTCATAATTTTGTGTGAAATCGAAAACTTTGTGGGTGATGTCCAATTGTGAGAATTTTTTACAAAGCTGGATGTGTTTATTTTTATTTTAGAACGTATTCATTGCAAAAATGTGTCCGATAGCCTACAGATAAACGACTAGTTAACTTGATTAGTGGTTGGCAACACGGGATTGGATTTCAAACCACGCGCGATTTTCAAATGAGCTCAGTTCGTCAATTTTCATTGCAGTGGAAGGTGGTGTAACGTGGTGGTAGGGTTGGTATTTCGATACATTTTCTTATATTGACATGAGAATATATTACCTATACAGAATTCCACACTGCAGTGTTGATATCTTATTTTCAAACAATTCAGGATGGAAATCTAGAAATCTCATTGTGTCATAGCAGAGACTTTTTATACCTACTTGTCCTCAAGTTTGTTTTTGAGTTCTATACCATTCATAATACCAGTGTACCTAGATAAGTTCTGTCCATGCTACTAAAGTTGCCATGCTACAGGAAAAGGAAATATTTCTTTAACACATTGACTCTGAAGTGGTAGACCCTACATATGCGTACTACAAAATGTATTTCTCCAGGGCGTAGGTAGTAGTCACGGAGTAGTGACGGTGAGTAGTGGAGTACTACTACATAATTCAGGCAGTGTGGAAATCCAGAGGGGTAATATATTAACTGGTATTGGTCTGGTAAACATAGCAAATTGGGAAGCAGGACCCAAAAATCTGGAACGTCCAGCATAGTGGCAAAGCAGAGAATATTTTAGACTCTCCCTCAAGTTCATTTTTGAGTCCTATAAGTAGACAAGCAAAGTATCATGTTAACCAGCATTGTCATACTTAAGAAATTGGTTTAAATCTTGAGTAAATGAGGAAATTGAAAATGAACTGATTCTAAAAAATCTCAGGTTTGTCACTATGACGTCCAGCACACTTCCACTTTCATTCCATCATCATCACTGATCTGATGAGTCTCTGCAAGATGCCACAGCTGTTTCTTTGAAAAAAAACAGCGCTTGCATCATCACAGTAACAAGAATCCAATCAACGCTTGAACGCGTCCAACTTAACAGTCACAAGAGTCCAATCAATGCTTGAACGTGTTCAACGTCACAGTCACATCACTCACATGAATCCAATCATTGCTAGAACGTGTGCAATGCCAGTCACAAGAATCCAATTACCATCAGAACGCATGCAACGTCACTGCCACTGGAATCCAAACAGCATTAGAAAGCTAGAATGGACCGCCCCAAATGCACACATTGTTAACGCACTAATGCTAATTTAATGTGTCATGCTACATTTCTTATTTCAAGCGTCTAATACAATAATGTAGTTATGTCACTATTGATGAAAATTGCAAAGAATAACATCTTTACTTTGTACATTCACTCACAAATACATGAAAAACTGCCTATGATTTCATCGACAAATAAAAAACTTATGATAGTTTTCAGCTGAGACATGAAAACTACTCGTGATCAGGATTCAGGAATCAGGAGTACCATGCCTACCATCTGTACCGAAACAATAACAAAGAAGGTGACACGTGACAGAGATACCAACAATATATCAATATACTCCGTGAAGAAAAGAAATATTTGAATTCTTCTATATTGTAAATTTTTAGTAACTGACATTCAACAGAATGGTTTAATAACGGTCGTAAATGTTATACATGCATTGCATGCAGTATCAATCGTGTGCAACGAAGCTGGCGGGAAAAGCTTTTGGCTCAGCCTGGTTAGTTGACTTAGTTCTCATTACGCAACCGGTGGATATGCTAACTGCAATGCAGATGAAGCTCGGACTTCAGTTTTATACTCCTTAGGTTTTATTCATACACTTTGAGACTATTATTGAGTTAAAATTTTACGTGATATGTTGTGTCGTTGTGAGCTGTCTAAAGTTCTAATAATGTATAAATTGCGAGGTTCACAGAATCTAAAGTTTTGAATGCTAAACTTTCCAAGTACGCTACTGGTAGTCTAGTCAGTCAAGTGTCATGTGCATTGCCTCTTCTTTGATAAGTTTCTCCGATTGCTGATGAGTTTATCCTCATTTTGAAAGCTGACATAACAAATAAGTGCAATAAATGTTTTTTTTTATATTCATTATGTAAAGAGTAAATAGTACTATAAGCCATAGCTAGCCTATTTAGTTCTTGCCGATGAGCTGTTAGTTTACTCTGAGTGAGTAAGGACTAAGGAGAGTGGCGAGACTCTTTTTGCCATTCATTACTCACTAACGGCATTCATTATTTAATTCAAGCAATAAGCATTCGTGTTTAGCATTGTTTACCGTATTTGCTAAAGAGGATCGCATAAAATGAAAGAATTAGCTTTTTAATGTAATATTCTGATAGTCAGCCCTTTACTTCCACTAATTATTATACGATGTTTCGATACGATCTTTGAATTCAAAAATTTTTATGTTCAATGATCACGTTTATTTTTCTATATAAAATGCAAGCTTTATCAACAAGAGTGTAAGTATCGTTCATAGAACAATGCCAATTTTGACCATTTTTTTCTTCATGTGCAGTTTAACTAATATGATACAAAGGCTGATTGCATGCAATCGAATCCGCGTTTGTTTGAGCTGGTTGGGAGTCGGATGCTAGCATATCTTCCAAATCAGTTTCAGGTATGATTTTCAGAAATAATGAAAAAAATTTTGGAGTAAATTAATTATGACCGTAAAAGAAAATAATTTGGTGTGCTCTGAATCAACTGGTCAAACTCTGAACAACTAATACATCAAGTGCTCTTAATCAACTCGTATATAGGTGACTTTTGCATTCAAGTATATCGGCAAGATCTAATGGAACTTTTTTCAGAATCAAGAGTACATCCTTTACCGGCTGCAACGTTGTGAGGCCTCCTCAAGATATCCTTTGCTCACCGGAGAGTGACGCATCTCTACCAGCGACCTCGGAAACATTCATGCGGGGCGCAAAGCTTATGCAGCCTTCCCAAGATCTTTCTTGCTCATCGGTGACTGTGAGTGATGAGTCTCTACTGGTGTCAGTAGCGACCTTGTAACTTCTACTGAGCACAACGTGTACTCTTCTTTCAGTAGATTCCTCTTGCTTGTCCGTGAGTGACGCGCACAATTAACAATATTAGGATTTTCTCTGTGTTGTCTGACGTAACGTTCATGCCGAGGCCGATTTCTGACAACCTGCAAACCTGTTTCTAGTTGCCACTTGCCTGGAACTTATTTTCAGGCGGAACGCTTTTTTTAAGTGAACCTCTAATCTTAGATTTCCACTCCGAATTCAGGTTGCCTAAAATCAGCCAAATCAAAGAACAAAAAAGGCCAATAACTCACTATATACTACTACTAGTTTATTTGTAGGTTCTGCTATAAAACTTTCATTCATTTTCTTTTTGTAGTATTTAAAATTTAATTAGGAAGTACTCCTATTATAAATTTTAGCCGGCCAGCGCAATTGAGAAAAACTAAATCAAGGAATTTGTCTGGAAAAAATTACTATATGGCAACTCAGTTTAAAAACAGTATAATAAATAAAATAATAGTACAAGATGAAGCAATCGGAGTCAACGTGTTAGCTAAATGGACCAGTTGGAACTTGACCAATACAAACATTTCATTATCATAGGAAAATAGCAGAACATTTAATAATATTGTTTAGAGATAGTAGGTACCGTATACACTATATTGCCTAACGCATTTCCAAAAATTAATTTGTAATGAGATTTCAAATCAACATGAAAAAATTCGGCAAGAGACACAAATTTTTTCCTTCTCCTGTCTGAACTCTGAATTGCATTTGGACAAAGCACTATTTCTGCAAAAATGTCTTTTGTACCAGCCCGGGATCAATCCAAGCTGAAATGCAGTAAAAATAATATATGTTTAAAAATTACTTTTTAAAGAGAACACTTCTAAAGAATCCAGTGTCTCCAATGTTACAGATGTAAAATGAATTTCTCATTTTATTTTCGAATATTAAAAATATTAATTTTTTTCAATTTTTTAGTATATAAAATTTTTTTAATATATAAATTGTTTTTGAAAAATATTTATTCTGTCAATTGATTCATGCATTGCCTCTGACTTCACACAAGTGTGCAAAATTTCAGATCAATTGGACAGGTAAAAGTGTGTCAAATATCAGTTATCAGATTTTTGTAGCTGACAAAATTATTTTTTCATTTTTTTTTAAATCGCAAAAAATTTTTTTAAATTCTAAAATCATTTATTTTGACATTTGATTCATGCATTGTCTCCAACTTTACGCATGTGTGCAAAATTTCAGATTGATAGGATAAGTAGAAGTGTGTTAAATTTTGATTAAAAGATTTGTAGCAGACAGACAGACAAACAAGAAGTGAAGTTAAAGAGACGTGTTGTAAAAAAAATTCATATTGCTTGTGTGATGGAACCCGTCATTATATTGATCCGGAACCTATACTGAACCCATCACTATACTGTAATATACCGTCAACCGGGGCAACTCGGGACTGGCGGGGCACCTCTGACACGTCGTAAAACAGTCATAGTAGCGAAACTAATTGGAATATTGCTAAACTAAATATAGTGGCCTAAACAACAACATTTTTCCTATCTATGTAGTATAAAGGAAGTCGAAAAATACGACATTTACTAGCTTTGAAAAATTCCTGAAAAAAATGGTGAAAAACGCTATTTTGAAAAGTTATATCTGCTAAGGTCTGTAGCAAAAAAAATATTTGCCGTATTAAAAAATTTTACTTACATAAAAGTTGCACCCAGGTGTCGGCTTGAAAACGTAATTGACAGATTTTGCCTGTCTCATTACAAAAAAAAATGGCGGCCATTTCCGCACGGCGGGGCTACTCGGAACACCCCCCCGGGGCTATTCGGGACACCCCGGAAAGCACATTTACAGTAGAACCTCAGTTAGCAAAGGCTCCAGTTAAGAAAAAAATTGATTAAAAACAAAGAATATTGATTACATTTACCTCCCTGAGTGAAAAAAAAAGTTCACTTATCGTCTCACAAATTACAAGCCGTCCTGTAAGCTTACAGATACAGAAAAAATGCATGATGCTGCTGATATGAAGCTTGCAGTGGACAAGGTTGTTGTAAATGCTCAATGGCATGTTCATGGATACCATAATATGGCATCAATAATACAGTAATATCCCATCAATAATATGGTACCGTCAACTGGGTGATTCAGCCCTGTTCATAATGATGGCCAAAGTGGGGTAATAAACGGTCATAAACAGTGGCCAAAGTCACTCAGGCGTTTATGACCTGGTTTACAACCCTGGCGTTTATGACCCAGGCGTTTATGACCCCGACGTTTACGACCCCGCGTTTACGACCACAGCATGAATCAAAAACACAGCCAAAGTCACCCCAGTTGATGGTAATTAATGTTTATGGTAATATATCAATGAAGGAAAAACTAGTAAAAGTCACAAAAAATGTCATTTATTCTACCTCTACATTGTCTACAATGAAAGAAGATGACTTCAGAGTACTGTTAGTAATGGATGAGTACGCTCTGCATGCTTCAAATATTTTAAAATGAAGTTTTATTCCCAGTGTCCCGAGTAGCCCCGTTCAACAGGGCTACTCGGGACACTCTTTTTTTTTGCTTCTGGCACCTTACGAATAGCATATGATATTTTTTTGAAGATGCCATTTGATAGCCCTCGCAAAGAGCTATGAAATGAGCCTAAACTTGTTTATGAAATGTTTCATCGTAAGAAGTTATTAACAAAAAACGCTCAAAACCGTCCCTAGTAGCCCCGGTTGACGGTAGTCATTAATTTATTCTAAATATACCTGGTTACCTAAGTGCATAAAAATTTGGGATAAATGGCAACTGTCAAGGTATGTAAAGGACATTTGCTTCATGTGGCAGGACTTGAAGGATAATTTTTGTTGCTAATTTATACCAACAATGCAATATATTCATCTGAGTGTTACCTTAAATAATTTGAGAATCATTCTCCATATATGTGCATGAGTGTTGTGCAAGAATTTGGCAGTCATTTTGCAACATTTTTGAAAGCGAATTGCTAATTATGTGAGGAAGAATCTTCCTCACATAATTAGCAATTCGCTCTCTAAAATGTTGCAAAATGACTGCCAAATTCTTGCACAACACTCATGCACATATAGCATATAGTGGCAGCACTATCATACTTAAGAAATTGGCTTAAATCTTAAGTAAATGAGGAAATTAAGAATGAACTGATTCTAAAAACGCTCTGGATTGCCACTATGTATAGCGCTGCATCAGTACCGTCAAACGGGGTAAAAGGGACGGGCGGGCAGGGTAAATCGGGACGCGCATCCCACATTTTGTAGAAATGTTGTAGCAGCTAAGCTAATTAAAATATTGCAAAACTAAAAATAATGCCTTAAACTTCAACATTTTTACTTTATATTATGTGTAAAGCTAGTCAAGAAATCGAACATTTACTATCTCTAAAAAATGGCTGAAAAAAATTAATAAAAAGTGCGATTTTGGAAAAGTACCTCAGCTAAGGTCTGGAGCAAAAAAAATATTCACCGTATTGAAAAATTTTACTCATATAAAAGTTGCACAGTGCACCCAGGTGTCGGCTAGAAAGCGTAATTGACGGAATTTGCCTATCTCATTAAAAAAAAATGGCAGCCATTTCCACACAATGGGGTAATTAGGGACACCCTTAAAAATGCATTTACAGTAGAACCTCAGTTAGCAAAGGCTCCAGTTAACAAAAAAATTTATTAACAACAAAGAATTTTGATTACATTTACCTTGCTCAGCGAAAAAAAATTCACTTGTCGAAAAATTAGTGCATCAGCGGTCATCACAAAATTGTACATAGAATGTTATATATAGAATTGTGCACCAGGCATCATAGAATGAAAAGTAATTGGCCTAAACTATGATTTATTTCTCCAAAGCATATGATGGTTGTCACTAAAACATTCCTTTCTGTTTTAGGTATGTTTTTGACAATTCTTTTTTTTATAGTAAATTCACTTAACCCAATTAAAATGGTGTGAAATTACAAGCTGTCCTGTAAGCTTTCAGATACAGAAAAAAATGCTATAAGGCTGCTGATATGAAGCTTGCAGTAGTTGAAATGCTCAATGGCCTGTTCATGGATACGGTAATATCACATCAATAATACAGCAATTAATGTATATGGTTATATCATATCAATAAAGGAAAAACAAGTAAAAATCACAGAAAATTTCATTTATTCTACCTCTACATCATCTACAATGAAAGAGGACTTCAGAGTACTGTTAGTAATGGACAAGTACACTCTGCTTCAAATGTTTTAAAATTAAGTTATATTGCAAGTGTCCCGGATTACCCAGTTCCCAGGGGTAATTCAGGACACTTTTATTTTGCATCTGGCACCTTACATATAGCATATGAATTTTTTTTGGAAATGCCATTCAGTAGCCCTCGCAAAGAGCTTTGAAATTGAGCCCAAACTCATTTCTGAAATGTTTCATGGTAAGAAGTTATTAACAAAAAATATAACTCAGTACTCACTGCAGTGAGTGACAGAGAGCGCATTTTCTCGTCGACGAAAACTTGAGGTCACGGACAGACTGACAGACAGACGGACGGACGGATGGACGGACATGGCAAGCACAATAGTGCATTTTTTCCATAAATGAGAAAATGCACTAAAAATGCTCAAAACCGTCCCTTTTTACTCCGTTTGATGGTATAGGGCTGCTGATATTAAGATTGCAGTGGACAATGTCATCATCAATGCTCAATGGCATGTCCATGCATGCAGGGATATGGTAAAATCACATCAATAATATGGTACCAATGTATGGATATGGTAATTTTGTAGCAATAAAGGAAAAACAAGTAAAAATAACAAATGTAATTTATTCTACATTTACATCATCTACAAAGGAAGAGGAGGACTTCAGAGTACTGTTAGTAATAAATGCGTACAGTCTGCACGCTTCAAATGTTTTAGAATGAAATTTTATCTCAAGTGTCCCTTATTACCCCATTACCAGAGGTTATTCAAGATGCTTTTCTTTTGTGTCTGACACCTTATGAATAGCGTGTGGAAGTTTTTTGCAGATGCCATACAATAGCCCTTGCAAAGATCTTTAAAACAAGCCCAAACTCGTTAATGAAATGTTTCATAGTAAGAAGTTATTAATGAAAGATGTCGAAACCGTCCCTTATTACCCTGTTTGACAGTACACTGCATGCTTCAAATGCTCTAAAATCAAGTGCATTTCAAGTGTCCTGGATTACCCTGTTCCCAGGGGTAATTCAGGATGCTTTTTTTGCTTCTGACATTTTACAAATAGCATATGGAGTTTTTTTTTTGGAGATGCCATGCATAGCCCTTGCAAAGTCCTATAAAATATGTCCAAACTTGTTTATGAAATGTTCCATGGGAAGAAGTTATCAATGAAAAACAAAAAACAAAAAATCATCCCTTATTACCCCTTTTGACTGTATGACCAAATGCCTCCCCTTATATTCTGAGATGATGATGGATACAATCAATTGTTGAAGTGAAAGGAATATAAATATGTCCAACATTGGAATAATTCATGAATGGAAATGAACTAAGTAATTTTTTTTAAGATTTAGTGTGTTATCACCAGTGAGACTCAGAGTCAAATGTTTCATAATCTATACCATATTTATCAATATTTTCTTGCATATTTTCTTGTCTTACATAAGATCAAAATTATATTAGCCACTTTATGTTTTAATTATGTATGGTGCATTAAAAAGAATTTTTTTATGTCATTCAAACAACTAGCTAAAGCAAAGCTTCATTATTGTGCAGTTTGTTTCTGTATTCAATCCTAGTTGGTGTTGGGGCTTCTGGTGCATCTGCAACCCAGAATTAGTATTAATTCTTAGGTGCTATTATAAACTAATATTATTGTGATGAAACTGATTTTGATTGAGATGTGCTGAAACTATCTCTGGGAAGTACCTATATTTAAAGAACTGGAAACTTCAAAATATCTTCACTCTCTTGCTGTGTTTGCTAGTGAATGAATAACTGTTTGAAACTGTTGTTGAAGACTAATTAGTTGTCATGGTCACTAGTATTGTTGTTGTGATAGTCACTATTAACCCTAAATATTTTATTACAGTCTCTACTAAGTTAAAATATGGCTCTATCAATTTCAACTGGATCAAGGATTCTCAATATATGTAGGTCCATACATCCATGTATATCCAAGGTGGGTTTTCTCTTGAATCATTATGTTATTGAAGTGAGTTGATCAATAAAATTTGTTTCAATAATATAGCTTTTATCTATCATTGAAAAATTTGATTTTATATTCATTTGCACATAAATTGATCAAACAAATTTTCCACATTGACCATCAGACCATCTTTGGCTTTGATAAACTGAATTTTAAATTTTTGCAGGAAATTCTAACTGTCTGGCCCTCATCATTAAGCTCATGTGCTGGTCAGCAGCGTTCATTCAACATTCGCCGTATTGACATGCCACATCCTGCTGATCGAAAATTCAACTATAAATTTCAGGTTTGTCTAATTTTAGTTTCAACTGACATCTTAATTAGAAACTAGGATTACCATTGTTACATCATGGAAAAGTATTTAGTCAATAATGTCTATTTTTGAATATACAGGCAAATGGTATAATTGTTTTCTATTTAATATACCATACCTATATATATATATACATAGATTTTCATTGATCTTTGATCTGAAAGCTAAAGTTAAGATAAGTATGAGCTTCACAAATAAATATGTCCACTGTATTCTAAGTATAAATATTATTTGTAGATAAAATCTTTATTCTAATGAGGTTTGCCTAAGTTGTTTACGCTAGTAACTCTAATTTAACTGTTGAGATCATATTTATTTCAGTTCAAACAATTGCATAGGATAAGCTCTCTGAAAGTTTTCAAATGTGATCATGATGTTGAATTATGTACGTATATATGTAATCTGCATAAAGAATTATTTAACTGATGAGTCATCATGACCATTTTTTTAGAAGGAAACTCATTTGAGGTAAAGATTGCTGTTGCATTGCTTACGCATGAAAGACAGTCCATTATTTATCGGACATTATTTGGATTTGTCCAATGCTGTTTGTAGTAAATTTATTTATTTTTATAAAAGGTCTATTATCCATTGGATGGGAAATACACCATCAAGCATCTGGAAATGGAATCAATATGTGGAAAACATCCATTCACAGGTGTGTTCTTATAACTTTATTGTCATAAACAGGTTTGCTATGAAAATTTTATCCTAGTTTTCTTTTTTTTAATAAAATAATGCCAAGAAAATTAGTGTTCGCTAAAATTTTGCTTGCAGTTTAGGGATAAGCCTAATTTATTTGCAATTAATCATACTTACTCCAATTATCATTGCAATAATCTTGAGTAATTTTCTTTGTGACAGGGCGCAAGATTGTTGGCACAGCAGGTAAGGGTATGGAACCAAAGTATCGCTGGGTCGACTTCAACCGACGTGGCCCGAGTGATGGCGTTAGCGTTAAAGAAGAACAGGTCATAGAAGTGCAGTATGATCCTAACAGAAGTGCCTTCATTGCTCTGGTTGGCAGCAAGGCTCATCTTCGGTGAGTTTGTGATGAGATAAAACTTGAAATTTAATGCTGGAATATCTCATTATTTTGTGTATTGAAGTTTTTATGTACATGGTAAATAAGTCATGATTTAGGTTCTAGTAAAAGACTGCACCACTTTGAATGTAGTGAGCGAAATGCATACGGTATCATAAAATTTGTGATTATTCCCTTGTAAAATGTTCTCTCATTTACTCATGAGCAGTTACATTATAGCAACAACTACTATGGAACTGGGAAGTATCATTCGCTCCCACAGTGCGATACCAGATATTCCTAGTGAGTTATTAATTTGTTAGAACATTGTGGTGATATTATGTGATTTTAGAGGTTCTTGTTCTTATGTTAATCTGCTAAAACGATTGATTAAAAAACTCTTGATTGGACTACATTTAACTTTTCAACATTTACTTCTATTGTCAAAATTTCATTATCTTGATATATTTTTAAGTTCGTGGTGTGCCCGGCGACTCTCACCCCATTGGTGCCCTGGCTGTGGGCTCGACAGTTTGTCACGTGGAGCGTGTCCCTGGCCATGGGGCTGAGTGAGTACATACATCACATAACTAGAGTATCCTATATGCTACGCTGTTAAAGTGACAGATAAATACTTTATGCTCCTTTGATGAAAAACTTGTTAAAAATGAGGTAAATCCCGACGGAATCCATTACCACCTAGGAGTAAATTAATTTCACTATTAGTTATTTGCTGCTATTTTTCCCGGTGCCCGAATGAATTTACTGGCGTCACTGAAAGTAGCCTAGAACTTCTTCTGACGTAGTGCGCCAAGTTAATAATGACACCGAGTAAACGACCTGCTCAGGGAGATGCACTCTGGGTGGCTCACCTCTGAGAGGTCGAAATACCGAATGTTAGATTGTCAGCAAAGGAAGAGCGTACTTTGCAATGGGTTTTTATACACAAATTTCAGCTTGAATTAAGTATTATTTGTCCTTTGAATAATTTCACGTCATGGATATGCATGGGTCACGGATTACTAGTACTGGTATACTATGTAGATGTGACAGCGCACGCCTTTGTCTTTAGCTCCCATCGCAGGTAAGATTCAAATTGACACGAGTTAAAAAAGAAATTAACGAATATTTTGTGATTTTAGCAGAGGGCATCTTCCATCGGTTTGCATAAGAAGAAGAGACTTATTAAATGTGGTCTGTACTAAGGATAACGGCCAAATAAAAACAAGTTATGAAGATGGACAATAGAATAAAAACATGGTTTGCCATGAAATATTTATTATTTACTGCCCACGGAAGCGATTCACCCGAAGAAATAATAGTCCTCACACATTCGTTTTTTTTTTCACTAGCAATTCACGTCCAACATTGTGTTCTAACTAGTGTAAGTAACGGTATTGAATGTGTTATGCTCTATACTCGAGGGAGTAGCAGGTAGAACTCAACGTTAACACTTACATTACGTACTTGTAGCATATATAAACACTGTAGTTAACTTTAATTCTTTTTCTCAAGATAATTAAACTTAACACGTTGACTACGATTACTTCAACTTGTACAATTATTTCATTTTTTGTACTTTTTTTTAAGCATGGTTGCCAGACGGTCATTTTTTCCAGACAAATTCCATGATTTAGTTTTTCTCAATTGCGTTGGCCGGCTAAAATTTATGATAGGGGTACTTCCTAATTAAATTTTAAATACTGCAAAAAGAAAATAAATGCAATTTTTATAGCTGAACCTACAAATAAACTAGTATACATTGAATTATCGGCCTTTTTTGGCCTTTTTTGTTCTCGGATTTGGCCGCTTTTAGGCAACCTGAATTATGTACCACTACCTCCTGGAGAAATACATTTCGTGGTACGCATATGTACCAATACGTAGTCAACGTGTTAATAACATGTTATCTTTTGTTAACCCTCTATTATGCCGAGTTAATTTTACAACAATATTAGTAAGTAGACTGGACAGTGTTCAGCACTCCATGTTGTACACTGCAGCTTGTATTATTACAAGATGGTGATGGAAGTTATCTGGAGAGATATTGCAAATCTTAACGCTCAGCAGGCATATTTTTGCTTTGAAATTAAACCGAACAGCATTCAAGAGAATCGTGTCAGGCTCTTGAATTAACCCAACATTAGAAGGACGGACCAGCATCTTGATTCTACTAAGCCCATCTGACGTCAGATGGGGTGGATCTGGCGGACGTTCAGAACGAGAGAAGCGGAACCAATGATCACACTCTTCAGAGCCCTTGTAATACCTATCCTTGAATACTGCTGCCAGCTCTGGACTCCGTTTACACTAGGCGCAATACGGCAACTGGAAGGAGTCCAACGAACCTTTACTTCCAGGATCAGAGGGATGGAGAATATTAACTACTGGGAGAGGTTACAGCGACTGAGTCTGTACTCACTGCAGAGGAGACGGGAGAGGTATGTCATTCTGTACACATGGAAAATGATAACCGGATTGGTGCCAAACTTCGAGAGCGAGACCTTCAGGATTCAGACATATCACAACGAGAGAAGGGGGAGACTGTGCAAGATCCCCCCACTACGTAACAGATCCGCGGTCAGATTTCAATCCCTGCGGGAAGGATCACTTTCCGTGGCAGGGCCAAGGCTGTTCAACGCCCTACCAAGGGATCTAAGAGAGGGGGAGTTCACCCTGGAGACCTTCCTGGGCACAATCCCAGATCGACCTCCCCTGCAACACTACCAGCGGCGAGAAGCAAGCAACAGCATCGTGCATCAGGTGGCCCAAATGTGGGCGGATGAACGATAACCAAAAGCGGCGATCCATCGTGGCCTGGGACTGCTATGTCCCAAACAAATACTAAGGATACTAAGGAAGCACAAACTACTATTTTTTCCAGATTTTCAGGTATAATTTTCACGCTGGATTTGAGTTTGAAATTTTCAAGAGATGAACAAGGCTGTGGATGCTAATAATTATAATTTGTCTGCAGGTACTTGGTAGCTGCGGGCACCTCGGGCACGGTCAAGAGGAAGCTGGAGGACGGTAAAATGGTCCTCCTGCTGCCCAGCAAACACGAGGTTGCCCTTGATCCTCGCTGCAATGCCGTCTGTGGTCAGTTTCACCAGTTAACAGTGGTTATAGGTTTAATATGTAATTATCAACAGTTCTTGTAGCTTGTACAATGTACATAGTTAACAACCTGAAAAAGACATCACATAGACGTGTGTGTTTATCAAAGAAAGGGTTAGAAGTCTCTTAGCTGACCTTGGTGTTGATGAAACAAGTTTTCGTATAAATCGAAAAATGAAAAATCTATTACAAGAATTTCATGGTTTACTTACGACTATAAAAAATAATAAAATGCAAACAAATAAATATCCCAGAGAGTTGTAATATTTTTTGAGGTTATTGCACAAGTTTATCCATCTAGAATAACGGGAAAATATGTTACAATTACCTACTTTTTTGTCGGTTAATTTCTCCCAGGACAAATATCGAATCCTAACCACGACAAGATACATATCGGCTCGGGGACAAGATTTAGGTGGTTACGGAAATACCCTCGATCAGGATTGTGGCAGCGCAAAGACGGATATTGTGGCAAGAAAATCAGGGCACCGCCGCCATTAAAGCACGTAGTTGAGAAGAAGGAGACCGAAGTGATCAGGCTTGTGTGCATGACTGAAGGACCGAAGAAGCACATTGTTCCCACTTGCGACCGAGTAACTTAGCAACTTTTATAGCGGAAAAGGTAATATTTGGTGAATGCCACCTGTGGCGAAGAACATCATGAGTATAATGAATATTTAAACCAACGTAGATACGAACAGTTCTTATGCTTGATCATCGTTTATAGTTTGGAATGAAAATGTGAATATTTATATTAGAATTATGACAGCTCAACAAGCCAAGTGGAATATGAGGCACGGATCTTGTAAAGCTTGCTATTTACGATAACTTCACACAATGAAGCATGAAATTCTGGCTACTTGAGATATTTTTTGACAAAGTTATAACATAGCACATATAAATGTATACATGAACTACCACCCTCAGGACTTCAGGGAAATAAGATAGTAGTTTTCGATAATATAAAGTTATAATATGATCTGCCTACTCCATTTTAAAACGTTCGTTTGAAAAAAAATTTATATTCTTTCAAACGTTGGTATATTGATTGATATGTACAATTACGGTTCTCACTCATTTATTTACTTGAATACTCTGTCTTCCCAGATTTCATCTACAGCTTCGGATCAATACGGATCATTAATATAATATGTATTTAAAATTGCAAATTCCAACAGGTTCCACCTATTCTTGCATTACAACAGTCCAGGACAGATGGCTCTCCTGCTTAAGGGGTAGTCGGCAAAAATGCTGCGGTACCATCGATGATTCGAAAGTGCCACGTGAACCTGGAAATAAATCATTGTGAATTACTTAAATTTCAACATTGGAATGTATCTAGTTTTAAATGAAGAATTTGTATCAATCAAGCGTTTCAATTCGACATACATTAATTAAGAAAGTTTGTGTTAAGAGTTCAAATCAAAGAGCACGTAAAATATTTTTGTTACAATCTCTTTTTAGCTTACATTCATATGTATAATATTTATATATTTAGGCTGTTATGCAGTGCCGTGTAGTGACCATAACAAATTGACAAGACCTACATTATCAGTTAGGCATTAATAAATTTAAACTTCAAAATTTGATATGGCGAAATGCGATGTAAGTGTGAACACTACGGTATATAATTTACCTCACCTAGAATTTGGGAAAGTCCCATCATGACACGAGGGATTTCACAAAAAATTGAATTAGGTACGCGTTTCTTCACCGTCACTGATTGCTCGATGCTATAATTCAACACTCGAGATATTTTAATACGTCTAACAAATAAGGTTTTTCGTTATAGCCGTCTTACCTGATTAGAGAAAACGAAGAGCCACATGATGGCCGTGGCAGCATTACGGTGCAGGGCGAAGAGCGCCGTGTACATGATCACCTCAGCGGACATGTGTGGACACGACACGTACTCGAAGGCTCCTCCCACGGGCAAGACGTAAGATCCTGCTCGTCCCTGAACAACTGAGACGTAACATGGGTTACACCTTCACATAAACGACGTTTACGAAATTATCGTACATGTAATCAGAGAATGTTTGCAGGTACTAGCATCACGATAAAGACAAATTCAATATGAATAATGCGAATGCTTATATTGCTCTATCGTCTAATTTCTTCTTTCTTACACTTTTTTCCATTTTGAAAATTATTATTTCAGATAGTGAACGACCAACAGCGAGCATTAAAGCTCTAGGATGTTGAAGAATCATGGCTAAAATAGGATTTGTAGATTTCAAGTGCGGCGCGACATTCAGACGCGGGTATTTCGAGTCAGATTCTCTGTTTACAGAGAGGATTTGCTTCACGTTCTGCTAAGTTTAAGGTTCTGCTCATTGTCACGGAAGTAACAATTTGTCTGAGTTGCGAGTTTCTCTGGCACATGATAGGAAATGATTCTATTACGGTATATTACTAGATTTCCAGGAATAGTTACATGCATATAATCTGAGTCCATGTGCTAGGACAAGCGAAACTCACAAACTATACCAGATTAAAACATAAAATGGCGAAAATAATTAAGATACTCCGGTTCAAAAATAAGAGAAGGGAAATCAAAGCATGCAAATTACGTACGCTTTGCTTCTTTACGTAATCGAGCAAGTCGGGCGATGCTGTCGCGTTGCACTGCGAAGGCTAAACCGAAGTAAAATGAGCAAGCGATGCAAAATGCGACCTCCTCTGTCGTATACACCAGGCTGGTGCTGCCTCCTGCAACGAAGCCAAAGAAATCTGAGTAAGCTTGATGTCAAATTAACAATGACTGCAAATCTTTTTGTAAAGAGCCAATATCCGAGCGAAAATAAATTTAAGTCATCAAAGCAGTCATGACTTCTGTCAAAGAGCTGAGTGAGATGAGTACTTGAAAGAAATGTACTAAATAAAGTTGCTTTAGTAGAATGAACTTTTCCAGAGCTCCTTTCCAGTCTAGGCTCAAAGATCGTGCAGCGTTGAGATATTGTCCTGATATTTGAAAAACAGGCTGATACAAGTTGGGTCTTCCTTTGAAAAGGAAGATGATTTGCAATTAAAATCGCATTCATAGACGTTAAAAATTTTAGCTAGTGATTATGAGGATTACCCTCCCGTTAGCTATTAACCTACGTAACACCGAAAGTCATGAATTAATATCACCAAAATATAAAAAGTCTCCACCGTCGTCAATTCCTTCAATCAAAAATCTATTACAATTTACATAGAACAGAAGGTCTCGAATGAGCATTTTTCTCACCGGCGTCGGAAGAAATGAGCAGCGTTAGCATCTCATCAACAGTGACGAACACACTCGAACAAGAGGTCGTTTATACGGTAAGTCGACAGCCCGCATGAGAGAGACAATGAATAAAAATGTCAGGAATATTGCCTACATTACTTACTTTACAACTGAGACCCGCAGTCAGATACTTCGAGCTTTGTCTAAGAGACGCTAGGGGCTGCCTCAAGGAACGCGAAATTTTATAGGACTTCTGATGAGTATAGACACGTAAGAAGACCCCTTTCAGAGACGCTCATAACTTCCAAGTGCGAGGAAGTGGCGAAGTTCTAACCCGATACGAGGGCAGGAGTGTGTGAGAGGAGAAGCGTGAAGGCGGAGATGTAGTGCAAGAAGCCCACGGCGTACTGCAACACATTCATCACCGCTGAGCTGCTGAACACGCTCACGAAGTAGCACTCGTAGAAGCGGGCACAGCATTGAACGGTCAAAAGCACCACGCTTGTCACGCTCAACAGGCTCGAATCTGAACAAAATTCATGCTTAATAACTCAAAAATTCATACTTAAAACGAAAATACAAATTATGTGAGCGTACACTAATTTTCTATTTAAGATAAATTACACGTTTTTTCCAAGTAAAAGAAGAAATTCCGGCAAATTTTTTGCTTCTGCCTTTTTGGTAAAATCTAGAAAATTACTGCAACTGAGACTGAGATTGATACGTTCTTGCAGGCAGGTTCTAGCTGAGACACGTTATTGAATGCCTTCAATGGTAATTCGATTAGTTGAAGTCAAAGAAGAATTTGCAAATGGTACAAGTATTAAATAATATATAATTAATATTTTTACATACCATTAACAATACATATTTTCTCTATCTCGTGGAAAGAAATTCAATTTATTGAGATTGGTCATAATCACATGGGTAAGACAAGCTATTGCTGTATTCTGGATCAAGCAAAAATATTCAACAATAAATATACCAAAACTTCACTTCCGCTAATGTTGAAACAGCATCCATGACTGAGCAAGATCTTGGTTACTATACAAAATGTCTGAAAATTTGGAAACACAAATATTCCCGACTCCGCTGTTCTTAGATTAGTAATGCCTGTATAGTACATGAATGACACAGTTAATCATCTCTAATTTAATCATTCTAATCCATGAATGACTCAATGGAGGAATTAATTGAAAGAGATGAAAACAAAAGGATTTAAGCATAGCATAGTATGAATCGACGAAGATGATTAGGCCGACGAGGGCCTATCGTCTTGCATTCAAACACAAACTACTAAAAAATGCCACGTCAAGTCCAAAAATTGATTATTGTTGATTCATTTCAACCCACCACTTGGCTGCCTGCGCGGAGAGGTCAGGAGATCGAGGCTCGAGAACACCCAGCTCGGTGGCGCGACGCCTCGACCGTAAACAATGTATAGCAGGAAGCAGCTCAGCAAGCCCACGCTACTCGAAACCACGTAGAAATGACCAAACCAACTGTAGCGGTAGAAACAATAAATGGGATTTTAGCTTAGGTACTTAAGGTGACAATGACAGTAATTTTGTTTTGTAATGAATTTGCGGGTCACTTGAAAGAAAATGACAGAACCAAGTTAGTAATTTTATATATTAGTAGCACGGCACGGATGGTTGCCTCAATCAATTTCAATGTCAGTTGATCTATCCTTATATATACGAAACAAAATTATATTAATGATTGACAATAAGAGTTAGTTAGTTTAGTGGCCAAATGTTTCCTAGCGCTTCAGTTTTTTAGCTAACTCGCACCGAAAGTCAAGATGAACATCACTATAAAGGTGGAAGGTCTCAATTATTCATCACCCACAAGGGGCGGAAGGTCTCAGATGTCCAGCCCGCTGAAGCTGGCTCGAAAGAAGCAGCGTTAGCATCTTAAAGAGACGAAGTGACAAGGAGGGACAGGTGAAAAGCAACAGAAACGAAGACACTCGAACAAGAGGTCGCTTACACGGGACGTCGGCCGCCCGCACGAGAGACAGAGAAGGGAAATGTAAGGAATCCTGCCTACAAAATAACTTAACCCCACAACTGAGACCTACAGTCAGACACCGCGAGCTCAGCGGTGGGGCGCTCAGGAACAATCCCCCTAGGAACGCGAAATCCCATAGGACTTCTGACGAGCACAGGCACACGTCAGAAGTCCCCCCTGAGGGGTTAACAATAAGAGATAACATTTAAAATGATCATCAGGATAACAACGACAGTATTGATGAAATAATTATTCAAAGCTCACCTTTTTGGAACAGTCATGAATCTGATCCACCAGGAGTTGCCATGCTTCTTAACAGGTAGAGTTTTACCAAACCCAAGGAATGTTTGGACAGATTTTTGCAAGATGCTCGGGAGCCATGGTACAGAAGAGGAGGCTATAGGCTCCAACACGACCACTATCCCAGCAGACGCCAGGTAGAAGGCAGCTGGCCAATTCACCGCCAATACTATGTCAAACAAGTTCATCTCCAGCCTTGATGATAATAGTTTTAAGGCAGGTTATTCTTCAGAAAACTGAGTCTAGAATGAAACAAAGAAGTTGGGAAGAAATAATTAAAGAATATTTCATATGTGTTTACAAATGCATGGTTAATCTTTTCATAATATTTTAAGGCTCTAACTTGGGTATAAAGCTTGGTTATCTCAAGTATTATTCTGCATTAATACCAACAGACAAATATAACTATGGTTTACACAGCTTGGAAGGCAATTGAATTTAAAATATTGTTTTCATACGTATGTATATATTGATGAAAAGAAATATTTCATAACATTTCTAAAAATCACTTCATCACAGTTAAAGATGAGAACATTGTAAAGAAAATAGAACATTATTTCAAGTCTCATCAAAAGTCTTTTACTTCAACTCTTTTGTATGAAAAGCTGAATAAATGAATAACATATTAACGTATTAATAATAAAAATCTTATTGATTACATAAAATAAAAGGTTAAAAAAATACAATGAAATATTCAGGCATTCTTGAATAACATGTGCCTATGACACTGGTTAATGAGCAATCCATGCATATGATTTGGCTTTTAATGAATACGTTATGTACAAAAAGAGCATTTTGTCAGGGATGTTATTTTGCAATCATCTTGAAAGAAAATCCTTACCATGCATGTAAATAAATTTATAAACTGAAGGCTAGTCCCTACTAGTCCTCCTATAGCATACAATTTCACATTACTAATCAAATTATAAAATACTCGAATATTCAAGCTTAAGAGACGGAAAAATTACCAATGAAATTTCCTGCATCAGAGCATTATAATAAATTTTAACAAGCTATGAAAGGTTAAACTCAAGCATATCAAACACAAGACCTCCCAAACAAGTAATTAACAACAAATTACAATGAACAAATTAGTCATGTTTATTCAGGGACAGCACAAATAATCAGTGGCATACTAGCAATTCAATTTGTTCTATTTGTGTAACAGTTTATTCTTGCAGCAATGCAGTTGGCAGTATAAGCAACATTGTTAATCAGTTACAGTGCACTTGTCAGGAAAGCAAATTATCACACAAAAACAATAGGGAACAGATCTCTAAATGATACTTTCAGAATTGGAGAATTTTCAGGTAGAAACCTGAATTTTGTGGGAGCATTGATTTAAAAATACAAAATTTGTATGATCTAACAGAAGTGTCGGTGTGGTTAATGATTCATGCAAATGTGTGGTTCAATAACTTGACCTAAACAGGCTACGGCACTAATAAACAAATATGCATAAAATCATACATGAAAATTGGCAAACATTAAATCAAGGCCTTCTTAATAATTGCTAAAGTGAAATTTCCATCCATTATTTTAATCAACCACTTGTGTTCTTTAACACTCATTACAATTACAATCAATAAATCACAATGGATTAATTTTATTTTGAGCATAAATTTTTAGAAGCATTTAGCGCAGGCTATTGAATGAAGAAAACATCAAGCATGATTTGCAGAAAAACTATCAACAAATACTACTTCCTGGACATGCCCTGTATCAAGAAAAAATTTTGTTTACATAAAAATTATGAATTTGCCGATCAGAAAATGATGTCAAACAGGGATGAAGGACTGCTATGAATGACTTTCTCCTTCAAACGACATTCCCAACGCCTCTAAATCTTCATTGCTGATTTTGATCTTCTGGTCATCAAGAGCTTTCTGCAAAAAAAAATAAAATAAAATTGAAAAAATAACCAATTCTTAACAATACATAATAATGCAGCTAATGCATGTTATAAAAACTTTTAAGTGCATTTGAACATATATAATTCATTTTAGGCCAACAAGATTCATTACATCAACAAACACTAACCTTGACACAAGCCTGATATTTGGAAAACAGGCTGATACAAGTTGGATCTTCCTTTGCGCTTCCTTTCAAGAAGTCCTCAGCAAACCACCTATTGAAGCATTTATCATACTTGTGCTTCAGGTCTAAGCAATCAATACTAATGCTATTCATGGCTGTTCAGCTATCATGCATCATAGCATAACAATCAAGTAGGAAGAGTGAAAAAAGGTAAGATGGAAAAGTGCACAGGCCAACAATATCCTAATAAAGTGCAATAACTATAAAAATTTCTTGACAATTTACCTAAGGTCCACCAGTGAAATCAACCTTAGGCTCTTGAATAAGAATTTATTTCTTATTATTAATTTTTGGCTTACTGTAAGCATTTTAGATTACATATGGTAACAGAAGCAAATATTTTTGCAATCTAGTATCAACTCCTCTATCATAGAGTTAACTTGAAGAAAATTAGTGATATAATTCTATACCATTAAATAAATAATTTGAAAAATTCTAACATCCACAACACACAAGTTGCCATCATAATTTAGGTACCACCACCTCCCAACTAGTCTGGAAAAGTCCTATTTTTGTCTGAAATATCGCGGCTCTAATATCATATAATTTCAGTAGGTATGAAATCTCGCGGCTCTAATATCATATAATTTCAGTAGGTATGAAATCTCGCGGCTCGAATGTCATAAATTTTTGTTTGATTAAAAAATCGCGGTTTGCAACGCGCATAGTTGCGGTCATGTCAAAGCGGTCAGACTGTATATTAACACGTGCTGAACTTACAGTAGAGACAAATTTTATTGTTGCCGTTTGACTGTTTAAGGGTAAAATTAGAGATTTGGGGTAACACGTGCATAAACTTTGTAAATAAATTCGCATTCGCACCTCGTAAATGGCTTTTCATGGCCGAGATATGGCATTCACGGCTCGGTGAAATAGAATCACGGCTCGTAGAAATGGAATCACGGCTGGCAAATCCATAAAACCACGGCTCGAAAAATTCAGTCGCGGCTCGCCAAGTAGATATATTCCATACTAGCCTCCCAATAGGTACCAAATAATAATTAATAATAAATTATAGCAGTTTCAGCGTTATTAAGCCATACATAGGCCTGTTGCCAATTCTAAACATTGCAGGACATTCACAGCATTTTGAAGTTTCAAACTTGCAACTTACTGCTACAATTCTGCTGTCCTTAAATGCCCGACCTCCTTGCTGATTATGACCAGAAACTGACACACAGAGCTGGAATTGATCCTGCATCTCATGATCTCTCTGCTCCAATCCTGGTACTCTGAACTGTAACCATAAATAAATAATTTATGTAACCACTGGACCAAATATCCAATAAATTATATTTTATGCCTAGGAATTCTAGCCAAGGTATTTAAGATTGATCTAACTAAGTCACTTGCTCAGTCTGTCTAACATTCCCATCCTGTAGATTGTGGTCTTTCAGGTCCAGATTTTGGCTTCTTCCAATGCTTTTTGTCAACCACCTTGTACTTGTAGGATCATCTGGCATACATACAGTTCAATTTTAAGAATTCTGATTAGTTTCATCAATCTTTTGTTTTACACAAACAAATTAGTTGTAAATAGCAAATTAGTTGTGAGAATAAAATTGCAGATTTATGTTTGACTTTGATTATAGAAAATGATTACAGAAAGACAATTTGTATAACTTTGGAATTCCTTTTACATTTCTTAGTTTCTGAATATTTCACCCATTTTTTGTTCTTTCATCAAGGACAACTTTCTGCCATTAACATTAAGTATGAGGTTCTGCAATCTTTAAATGAACTAAAATAATCATGCATTTAGAATTAATCCATTTTGCAATTTTGGCCTGCATACTAATTCTATTTCTACATAACCAAAGTGACAATTATAAACCTATACCTACTTTCCAAGCAACAACTCAAATTTTGGAGCTGTAAATATTTATATTTAATTCCATAAAAAAAATTATTGGAAGTTTTTTTTCAGAAATCTTATAACCCAAATTTGAATAAGGCCTATTTTGAATGAAAAGATCTCATATTAAATGTCAAATTTTTTGTTAAATCTGAATTCATGGCTGGATGCATGCCTGGATTTACTGGAAGGCTGGATCATGGATGTTCTAGCAGTAGCAGTAGCATCTACAGAAACATTATTTATATAGTGGCAAAGCAGAGAGTTTTTTAGACTCTCCCTCAAGTTAATTTTTGAGTCCTATAACAACTAATAATAAAAGTCATTTCCCACCTAACATCATCGACGCACTGCGGCGGCGGCCTGCGCACACTGACACCTCAGCTCCGCACAGCACAATTACGGCTATAAGTATACAAGCAAAGTAGGCTAATCATGAATAGGCTACCTGCTAGTCTCTAGGCTGCTACCAGCATAATCATACACAAGAAATTGGTTAAAATCTTGAGTAAATGAGGAAATTAAAAATGAACTGATTCTAAAAAATCTCTGGTTTGTCACTAAAATCAGTAATTCTTTGTGAATAAATGATAAATGTGGCAAGGGATTGTGAAGGGAAAATTGGGCAGAAGCTAGGTACCCATGAATTGGATAAAAATGCACATGAATTTGGCCAATTTAAACCATTTGGCAGAATGAAAATGTTATGAGTTAGATAATGTTTCATAGTGGCAAAGCAGACTTTTTTAGACTCTTTCCTAACCTGAAATCTTACAGCTAGCCTAGCTAAATTATTATTTAACAGACCAGTAATTACTAATTAGGCTAACGCGTTATTTCATGGATACAAATATCACGATACACTAGATTCTGATTGAAACCTGGAGACTAGAGTAGATGAGGAAATTTAAAATGAACTGATTCTACAAAATGTCTGGCCAGTCTGTGTTCTCAACTTACCACTAATAGGTATACCTAATTAGTGCCGCAGCCCGCAGTGTGGCTGCTAAGCCTGTGGCACACCAGAAATTTTTTAGAAACGGAAAACATGGTGACATGAATAGTCAAAAATTGATTTCCATAGTAAGTCGGCGTGATTATGAAGCCTATTTGCTATAAAGCTGCAAGACCAACAGGTAAATGAGAAATGAAGAGACCACTATCTTTTGTTCGATTCGTCAACGTAATGTCTTACACTCTTACGTATCGCCCGGTATAACCCTCCGACTTATGAGATTCCATAAGCTATCATTTTTGGGGTTGCAAGATTGCTTTGAAGTCAGATATTCCGAGCCATAATTTATAAAAGCATCGACAACAGTTTATGAATACGTAATTAATCTATGAACTGTCGTTCAAATGGACTATGATAGTGTGATTGTAAACTAAACATGCCTAAAGGTTCTTGTACAACTACAGGGTGCGGCGTGGGAACTTACTCTTTTAAAAAAATCACAAAGTAAAAAGTATTAAAGATAGCGTTTTAATTCTTTCTTTTTTACAAAGAGCTACATTTAAAGTTTCGTTGGGTTTACTTACAAGTTTAATTCTTGAATATTACATCTTGTAGGTGAAGCCTCCTAAACGCACGCTGGGTTGCAACGATAGACCGGCCACTAGAAAAGTACACAGAGACTGCGAACGCGCGCTCCTCTCTCGACCACTGCATGGTCGCAATTGAACTGAGTGGACGAAAAACTTCATAGCCCGCGCACCATATTGCGCATGGCGCCACCTTCCTAGGACTAATGGCCGCCACGTGGCGCGCAATTCAAATAAGTAAGTTCCCGCGCCGCACCCTGTACAAGGGGAGATCTGTCAGCCTGCAAGTAGATCTGGCAAATGTCGGCCGCTTGGTGACTATCCAGTATCCGGCAAGTAAAGCCTGTTACACGAGCGAGGACCGTTATAAGGTGCCGATATTTTCTCGTACTCTCGTACCTCGTTTGCGCCCGCCAGTGCGTCGTTACTCGTTAGAAGCCGTCGGGGGAGAGCTGTGAAAATGGATAGTGGGATCACCGTCAACAACTCAAGTGACTCCAGTCTGTACGTTGTTTTTATACTCTTTATTCTAGCCCTTAAAAATGTAACGTCGGGAACAACTAAACCCTGACTAATAAGGTCTTCTTTCAGTTTCAAAATACTCGTTTCTCTCTTCATTTTGCTGGAGTAACCAGCATGGCAAACATTCCACATTAATTCATATCTTTTTAAATATCTCAAAGAACAATTGAATATCGACTGGACTCCACCTTGTTGGGTTTTTCTTAGAACCATTATCGTTCAAGCAAGCCGTGATTCACTCGACCCAATATCTTTCACATGAGCGGCACAAACCTTCTCACCATGGCTGAATTAGCGCTACTGGCCGCTTCTGAGACTGAGTTCTGACTTCTCCACCTATCTCCAGCGAAGAAAACAACATATCGTTGTCTCTCTCTTGGCCGCGTCTCAGGCACATGCCACTGAAGCGGCTGAACCCCTATACACTAGGCCAGTAGCGTGGACAGTTCAAGCGGCGGATGAACTGGCGGCCAGTAGTACTGTCCCCGTATACAGGCAACTTAAAGGTGCTTATATACGGGGCTAATATTAGCTGCAAGTTTCCATAGTGCAAATAGTGTGCTGATTTATTCTTCAGATGGAAGTAGCTGACGCAATTGCATCTGAAGCAATTTAAGTTGTAACTGCGATTAAGGTAAAAGTGATAATGCCGGCTTTACAATCAGTCTTTTACTGGTAGGCCATAGTTAAATCAAAATTTAAAAAATCACTCCATCGAATAGAATAATTATTAACGTAGATTACATTGCACTTTTTTAAATTAAACTTCAACACACACAGCTTGACATGATAAATTTCACGATTAATTTCTAATAATCAATGAAGAATAAGTTACAATAACAAAATTAGGAAAAGGTCATTTAGAGTAGTAGATTACATTAACGGCGAAATAAAAAATGAATTTTGTACTGTAAAATATAAAAAATAACCCAAAGTAAAATTACTCAAATCTCCGAATAGCATCGGCGCAAATCTGCAGAACAGAGGAGTTATCCTTTAGAGTAGTAGTAGTAGTAGTAGTAGTAGTAGTAGTAGTAGTAGTAGTAGTAGTAGTAGTAGTAGTAGTAGTAGTATAATCGCTTGCTAGCGAGTTTTCAAGCTATTTCGCACCGGAGGTCAATCGATATCAATAAAAAAAGGATTTTGATAAGCGTCAGAAAACGAATGCAACTAATCAAGAGGTCGCTTGCATCATTTGGGAAAAAACGGGATGATCGGAATCATGGGAATTGGGAATAATAGGAAAGAAAAGGGAAAGAAAAAGTGTAATACTTCATCCAGCAACAGGTGATGTACACAAGAGTGAGGCTGGCAGTCAAATACTTCGAGCTTTGAATACTATGCTTATGAACACAGAATCCTATAAGCGTGATGAAAGAAAATGAACACCTCGGACGACACCTCAGACCAAAAAGCGTGAATCTTGAATAGAATTTAATTCCAATAGGCTTTCACTTCTGTTTCGATAAACTGTGATTAAAACATAGATAACACAAGCTTTTAACGACGATCTTTCTCGCGAAGACGTAATTGGTAAAATATGTATCTGTGTGGTACATTACATTAGAAATCGAAGAATACTAAAAAATCATCAGCGGGTCTTGAGACATAAATACAACTCTGAAGACATGGCACTAACTCAACATTGATCAGCAATAAGTATTTAGTTTGTATGCAATAAATACTATATTCTAGTTAATATTATCCTTGATAGCAGAAATGCAAGTAACAAAAAGCTTATGCTTTACTTAAGGTCTCCCAGAGCATTCGTCACCCCAAATGTATTATAGTTAACTAGGTTCACCGCTCACACCGTCAAAGTGCATTTCATCTTTCTGCGGTTCAACAAAAAATTTAAAAGATATATTTATAACGTAATTCCGCGAGAACAAAATTCCAGGAACAAAAATATCACGTGACTAGTAATTAATTAATATCAAAAATGGTTGATTACACAATCAACCTTACAAGATTTAAAGTTTAGCCGGACATCCGATCAGACAAATAGTAACACTTTGGCATGACACTTTGTAATTAACTCAGACATCATTCCATTTCAAACAAGGTAATACAACATCGTCCGCATTCAACATTATGATTTCCTAAAGAAGTATAACTAAGGTTATGAATTAATATCCCAAAATGTAATACATGATGGGCGATTTAATTCAACAAAAGAGCTCACAGTCCTCAGACGTGCACTAACAGACATCAAATGAATCTCGTGGGGAGACGAATTATTTCAAGATAATTTCTCGACGTATAAGAGATGAAAGATTGTGCAGCTTCCTTTTCAGTGCAGCTTAAGAATATAGATACGACAAGATTCATAACTAGAATATTAACGTAGGGTTCAGAAACCAGCAAGTGGTGGTAATAATAAAATGTCATCCTACGCTCCAATAGTCAATGAATATTAGTAAAGCGCTTATATTTGGATTGGAATGCAACAGATTAACACAGTCCGAAGACAGCAGCCATTCAGAGCATGAGGATAGCAACGCCATTATTGGAATGCAAGGGAATGTGAACGGCAGGGCGAGATCATAGATTAAACATTACATGTTAATTTTTACACACACCTATCAATTCCGAAAACACCTTCAATTGGAACCAAGTTCTTTTAACACACATTTATTGCATTAAATTTTGAAACAACCTGATTTTGCACCCAAAGTTCCAAATAAATAAAATCAGCAATTATCAACAATCAACAGGTTACACTTAATCAAAGGGTAGACTCAAAACAGTAACAATAGATAAATAATATAAACTAATTTTAGGTCCCTAATGCGATATTAATGGCAACAAAAGTTTTTCCATTTACTAGGAGTTTGTAACATCTTAGTTTATCTTAGGATATATTCTTAGGCGAGGACCAGTGCAAGTTTGACAACATAATTAGGTGGAGGCAACTGAGGAAACTCTAGTGCCGTTCAATGCCTACATAGCACAACGGGCTGAAGTATATGACCGGACAGGGTCTCAAGCGGTGCTTTTGATAAAGATGCAAAGATATATATTAACATTCAATAGAAGGTCTTAACAAAGCCTGAGGACAATTAAGCAAGGACGGACTGATCGTCTGGCGCAGCACTGGTTTGGTGCTGCGTTCCCAAGAGGCGCGCCACGCTCTCCACTACCCAGTCCATGAAGGGCCGCTGCTCCGGATCCACTTGCAGCAGAGACTCGATCAGTTCGAGGAGACTCTGTAAAAGCCCATGAATTTTGATCAACATTATCCCGAAATTTATCAAAGGCGCCAAGCCTCGTAAAAATGCCACTAGAGAGTTTTTTATGCTTCATAATAAAAATTTTCTAGCCTTTATCCGTCTCTTACAGAAATCTGATGAATTCCAGAGAATGCTAGTAAGGCACTTCAACTGCTATATGCAATCCAACACTTTTTCTGATATATGAATTAATTCATTTTTCACACTCATGAGAACGAATGCCATACTAGCCATGGTTGTCTGGCTGTAAAAGAATAAGGGAAAGGAAGAATATAATTCAAATAAATGTCGACAGTCATCACGATAGATCGTAGGTGTTAGGCGCACCTGAGAAAAAGGATGCATTTCAGGGAAGGAGACTTTGCCAGCAATGACAGCCAAGGCTACGCTGTCACCGCGCTCGTACGCGGCGTCGAATGAGGTCTTGAAGAAGCACATGGCGTACAGAACGCAGCCCAGTGACTGCAACAATTATGGCAAGAGGCAAAAATTGAAGTTAAAGATTAGGAATACTAAAAAATTTTGTTATCCACCTTTAATGGACTTCTAATACAGTCACGTCTAATACAGTTTCTCAGTTCGTGCTAACGAGCTGAGACCTGCAGTGGCGCTACGAGCCATTAAGGGGCCTGGGCACTTATAGGACACGATGTGCATCACACTAATAGGACACGATGTGATATGAGGTGATAATTTATTTTCGATCATTTACTCAGATTTGTTTGAATGGATAAAACAATGGGTAAAAGACAAAAAAGTAAACAAACGAGTCCTGCAACAGATTATGTCGAGTCAGTTGTGACACACGCTATTTAAGAGCTAAGTTATAAGTCTTGCTTATGTTTTAAAGAAACTGGGTACTTTTCTGAATGAGATAACTGACAATCGCTTCAAAGATAATGAAGGACTACGCAATTAGAATAAAATACATTTCATAATGAGGAGGCTACGAGTAACCTACAGTCAGTGATTTATGTGCACCTTAGATTTCGTTCGGAATTATTGATCTCACCCAGACGTCAGTACGCTCGTCAACCCTACAGGAGGTAGGGACATTAAACAGCTCAGGAGCGCGACATGTCATGGATGAGCGCTCAGCAGCTGTGTCCTGCAACAGACGTGCATCGGCTGCAGAAGTTACCTCCACTCTTGCCGGAGTTGTAGAACCTAGAACAAATTAAATGGAGGAGGAATTTTTAAACTCCTTTGAAGTCTAGTGATTAGTAGCAATGTAGTTCTTGTGCTAATCACTAGTTCATTGTAGTTCTCTAGTGTGCATTGTAGTTCTCCTGAATCAGGAATAGCAAAACAAAACCGAAGGAAATGCTTAAATAAGTTGACGAAAAGCAAATAAAAAGCACAGTTTACCGAGGTCCATGAGTACAGGCGTTAAGTCCTCCTTAAGGAGAATGTTTTGAGTTTTGAGATCGCGGTGAGCCAGAGGAGGTTTGTTGTTGTGCATATGCTGCACTGCCAGGCATATGAAGTGGAACATCCTCAATACATCTCTCTGCAATCAAACGTACTCACTTCACTAGTATGAAAGTCGAGCATTTAATAATGAAGTCTCACTTTGAACACAAATGAATCTATATATCTTCATAAGATCTAAAAACTAAAAAAAACACTATGACCCTCAACAAAGTGAACAAACCCAGAGAAATGCAGTCAACAAATACTTTTTCGGCCAAAAATACAGGGTCCTTCAAAAAAAAGTATCTGATTTCAATAGGCTTTTGCAAAACTCATACGACACATACAGAACAATTAATTTTATTTGTGAATAGCTTATTTGATGCCATTTTATATCACTTAGTACACTTTACTTGGTTTTGAAAATTATGTTTGATAAATGATGTCCCCCATTGTTAAGACATTCACGCTTTCCCTGAAGTTGCCCATAGCCACTTCGTGCCTAATGGCATGTTTTAGTTCTTGCAGATTTCTGGGACGATAATTGTACACTTCAGCCTTTAGGTATCCCCACAGAAAGACTCATACTGCTCGCTGGTCAATGGAAATGTTAAGTGAGTTGTTTTCTGGACGTCTTGTGTCTTTAAGAGGAGACATTTCCTAGCCCCCACGGTCACCTGACTTATCACCTTGCGATTTCTTTCTGTGGGGCTACCTAAAGGCTGAAGTGTACAAATATTGTCCCAGAATTCTGCAAGAACTAAAACATGCCATTAGGCAGGAAGTGGCAGCCATTCCAAGGGAAGTTACACGAAGAGCTATGGGCAACTTCACGGAAAGACTTCGTGAATGTCTTAACAATGGGGGACATCATTTATCAAACATAATTTTCAAAACCAAGTAAAGTGTACTAAGTGATATAAAATGGCATCAAATAAGCTATTCACAAATAAAATGAATTGTTCTGTATGTGTCGTATGAGTTTTGCAAAAGCCTATTGAAATCAAATACTTTTTTTTGAAGGACCCTGTATTTGTTTTATTTAAGAATCCATATCATGATCAGAATCAAACCGTGTAACATAAATTACAAGTTAATGTAATGCAGTATTTACAACAACGCACCTCACAGAAGAAATTGCAGGTCTGTGCTCTCCTCATGAGCTCATCATGCAGGGTACCACGCTGAGAACATCAAATTAAATGCCATTAGAGAAAGAATGTAAATTACGATCATGATTTCAACAAACAATGACAAAGAAAGCCAAGTTGAAAAATAAAATTGCATTGGTTGAAAAATATTCAGTAAGTAACAAAACCTAATTTACATAATTAGTTAAAAATAGATGTATATGAACTAATTACCCTCAAAAATCTGATTTGAACAAAAATTCATAAATAAAATTCAACTAATGATTTAGATTCATAATATAATTTTTGTTGATAAAATTGTTTATAATTGAATTATACAGGGTCAACCAGAATTAACTGACCCTTTTAATTTGTTAATAAATAAAAAACTAAGAACGTTATGAAGTTGTAATTTGTTTTATTTAAAAGAAGAACATTTTTATGGTAATATTGTACAATCAATGGGAGACAAGGTTATACATAAATGCTGATGAGATATTTATTCATGTCACAGCTATTAAATTAGCAAGTAAGATAATTTCATGGGAGTGACACATGAACCCACTTGATAATATGGGAGCAGTAGCAAGACTTGAGACGTTTTGCTGCCAATCATATCAGGCATTCCAATCAAGTCACTGGCAATGCAGGGCAGGATGTTGGGATGTTGCAGAACTGAATGATACTCCACCTCACTCAGAGCAACCTGAAAGCAGAGTAATAAGCATCACAGAATTTAGAAATCATCAAAGATATCAAAAATATTTATTGCCAAAATTGAGACAAGTAAAAATTTCTCTGTTTCTCATATTAAATAATGTACTGTAATATCAAGTTTGGAAGAAAAAGAAAACAAAAAAACTATAGGAAAATACCATTTTCTTGTCTCACTACCAAATAAACAATTCATGACAAACTATAAAGTAAGAGAATTTTCTTCAAAATGTGGGTATGTTACTCTATCTATAGTTGTCTTAATCTGTCTTTAAAAATAATTTTAGAAATTTCTTTACAAAATAAAAACATAAGAAAAAAATATTGGCAAGTGAATGAAATATAGTTGGTTACCTTCTGATCCATGGGGCTGTGACAAGTAATTCTTTTCAAAGCATATAGTTTGTGTGATGAGGAGTCTTCCACCAAGTCAACAGTGCTGAAGCCTCTGAAAAGTAATAGCAATCAGTTAAAGTTCATTAAATGGGGTTATGCCTGCATTTAGTCAATACTCAGAAATCCTTCAGGAGTAATAAACGAATGTTCATATGATCATGTTACATGAATAATTAAATTGTATACACAATTAAGCAGAAAATTCAACTGTAAAATGTGAATAGAATGGATGAAGTGACAAATTATTTCATGATGAAAATATACAAACCAAGCTAAAACTTACCCTTCCCCTAATGACTCCCTCACTGTGTAAGTGTGACCATTGATGGAAACAGTTTCCTTCAGGCAGAAGCAGTTGCCCATCCTCACCAAGGTAGCAAGGCCTAGCGTGTTCATCAGGAGTGGCTAGAGTGCAACAGTTTTACTATCAGGCTTGTACTTTCTGTAGAACCAATGAATTCAAACACTTGCCCTGTAATATGAGTAAAATCTCTTTTCAATGTAAAAAGGCTAAAAGTAAAAGAACCTTTATCTAAGGCATACAAAATGGATTCATGTTCCAAAATGTAATCCTTTTACACAACAATGACAATAGAATAGTAGTAATGAAATGCCATTGATAACTCATACTCTATACAAATTACAAAAGTAAAAAAGTCACTAGATTGCTTTAATTGCAGATTCACTAGAAATTTAAAAGCAAAGAAAATACCACAAAAATTTAGCATATCTCTATTGAAAACGTTTTGGAGACCAGCTCCATTGTCGGTTTGATAAATCTAGAACACAGATAAAGGAAGAAAATTAGTTTGGAGTTAATAAAAAAACACATAAGTTAAAAACCTAAATTTACAGACAAATGGTAGAATAATAAAGTCAGTACCTATCTATTCACAATTTCTAATGGATAAGAACTATAGGCAGCATTTAAACTAGGCTTCTCTTTAAAAATATACAATAATTCCAAAACGTAATATACAAAGTTATTTTATTAACTCCAAACTAATTTTCTACCTTTACCTGTGTTCTAGATTTATCCACCTGACGATGAAGCTGGTCTCCAAAACGTTTTCAATAGAGATATGCTAAATTTTTGTGGTGTTTTCTTCGCTTTTAAATTTCTAACAAATTACAAAGTGCTGTCCTGAACAAGAAACCTTAGGGTATTATAATTGAAGTTAGAGATAATTTTATAATCAAATTTTTTTATGCAACATCTAAATTTATTAGTGCAGCACATTTTTTATTGTTGTAGCTGGTTTATGGAAACGCGGTATATTCCGACACTTTAAGGACGTAGCAAAAATTGAATGGCTATAAAAAATACACCGTATGCGCAAGTCAAGTTCTGTTTGCTTTAGGTCACTCTCAAAACACCGCACTACGTACGTGCCAGCAACAATGAAACGCCACAAAATGTTGCCATATTTATTTAAAAGCCTTTAGAATGCAAACCTACCAAATCCATATATTCCGACACTGTGTGTGACTAAATTTGGCATTTTGTGAGACTAATTCCGGCTGCGCTTCAAACTCTACTAATTCGTAATGCCGACACTCTTGTGTTCGAATTCCGATCGCTGTGTGAGCTGTATTGGAATACAACACAGCTTGGAATTAGAACACTATTGAATATTGAACACCAGTTAATTAGGCTTTTAATTAAGAGCTATTAAGCTTTCAATTAAGAAAATTTTAATTGTTGCACACAGCTTGGAACGAGCTGTGTGTGTCTAATTCCAAGCTGTGTCGGAATTAGTTTTTATGTGTCTAAAACCGTCTCTTAACTTAATCATCTATTAATTTTTTTACCACTTGAAATCTGCAAATACAAGTATACATAATGGATTCCTAATATATTCAGACATATTTAAAAGTCTCAAACCATAATATTCTTTCTACACAAACAGTTTATCACTATTTGGTAGAGCAAGGTCAACTATCAACTTAGACACATTTTTCAATGTTCTCAGTCTCACTGTGACACTGGGTGATGCGCAATGTCTCTCTTTGGATCTCAACATTTTCCCGCCAGACGGCCCAGACCTAGTGTTTTGGCAATAGTAGGCCTATGGTGCGCAAAAGTATGACATTACTATTTCAACCATCAACAAATGCATGGAACTAAGAAAAAGCTTAATATAAAGGAAAAAAATCGAGAAGTGTCAGAATTACCATGATGTTGGAATATACCGCGTTTACCCTACCATCAAAAGCTCTTCTTTGAAATTGAAAATTTGAAATGAATTTTTACAATGGCAAAATTTAACATTGAAAGCACAGATAGGCTAGGCTACCTAATTGATTTGGTGTCAACTTTAGAGGAGCTTGAAGATTTGAGTGAAAAAGAGGAAACAATTACAACTTTAAGAGTTTACGTAGTGTAAATCAGTTTGGTATTCTTGACGAGACAGACGAGTGATGACTGACCAATTACTACTAACTACCTAGCTACATTACATTGAGATCTTTTGAAGTCAGTCTTTAGTCAGATCAGCATCAGGCAGAACGCAGAAGAGCTTAACTTCTAGTGAACATCCATTACTGGCATTACAACGTAATTGCAAACTGAGGTCGGCCTGGGTCAGGTAGATTTTGCAGAACAATTCAAAAGTTGACAGCAGCACTTGAAATTTTGAAAGTTGGTATGTACCCTTACCACTCGAACTATAACCACTAATCAGCGTAAAATGTACTGTTATTGTTACTAATTGGCAACCAATCCAAAGCTGTTTTTTTAGTTTATAGCCGTGGCCCAGCTGGCCCCTGGTGTTGGTTCTTGTTTCAAATTCTAGTAATCCTTCTGGCACCTTGTATAAGCCATGAGTATACTTGTATACTTCAATGAGGTCCCCACGCAGACGTCGATACCTCAGGCTTGGAAGCTTCATAATCTTTAATCTTTCCTCATAGGACTTGCCTTTCAAGCCTGGAACTATCCTTGTTGTGCGTCTTTGAACACTCTCTACTAAATTTCTGTCCTTTTCAAATTTCGGCAACCATACGACAATTCCAAACTCTAGGTTTGGGCGCACGACAGCAACAAACAATTGCTTCATCATTTCTGCACCTAGGAACTCGAAAGAGCATCTGATCAGTCCAAGTTGTTTATTGGCTTTATTAACTTGACCTTCAATATGCTAAGAAAATTTCAACTCATTGTCTATATTAACTCCTAAATCCTTTTCCGTTGTCGACTTCGACATCATCACTCTGTCGTTGCAACCGTGTCTTCTCATACTGTAATCTTGTTGTTCATTATTCTTGCCAAGGGCAATGTGGATAACTTTACATTTGTCAGCATTAAAATGCAGCTGCCACTTATCAGCCCAGTCAACCAGCCTGTCATGATCACCTTGCAATTGTACTTTTTGACGTATTCTTCACTGTATTATAAATTTTTGTGTCGTCAGCATACATCGAGCAAACGCTAGACACAGCTTCTGGCAGATCGTTTATAAACGCAATGAATAGAATAGGCCCGAGAACGCTTCCTTGTGGCATGCCGCTGTGCACTGAAGCCCAGTCTGATACGGACCCATTAATACTGACACATCGCCTCCCTACTAGAAAGTCTCTGATCCATTTGAGTACATTACTGTCTCAATTCCCAAAGAATTCAATTTACGCAACAGCCGCTCATGTGGGACACTGTCAACTGCCTTGGCAAAATCGAGGTACACTGCATCTACTGGCTCCCTTTCGTCCAGCAGGCGAGTCCATTCATTCAGAGTCGACAAGAGGTTAGACCGTTAGTGGTGCAGGATCTCCCGGCAATAAAGCCATGTTGACAGTCTGATAGGACATAGGAGATTATTAGCAGTCAAATGATCTATCAATCGATCCCTCACAACAGATTCCATTACCTT